GTGCTTGAGAGGCAGGCATGGCACCACTGTGCTAAATTCCTGGCCCTGGGTTTTATTTCTTGATTCATCCTGCTAATCTGTGTCTTTTGATTGGAGAATTGAGGCCATTCACATTGAGAATTATTACTGAGAGGTATTGGCTTGTTCCTGTTATTGCATTATTTTCCTGTTGCTGATTTCCTTATTTTTTTTCCTTTTGTTTGGTTGCTCATACTGCCAAGTGTATTCATTCTTTTTGACTTGTTGGCTTAACTGTCTCTTTCTAGGATATCCTTGAGAATTTTTTATAATGCTGGTTTGGTGGTCATGAACTTCTTTGTGATAGAAATAGTTTATTTCTCCATCAATTTTGAAGGAAACTTTTTATTTCCTTATTTGGTGCCAGAGATCGAACTCAGGACCTTGTGCTTGTGAGGCAGGCATGGTGCTACTGAGCTAAATCCTCAGACCCTGAAGGAAATTTTTTCAGGATACATAAGTCAGGGTTAGAAGTTGTTATCTTTTATGGCTTGAAATACTTCACTCTAAGCCCTCCTGGCCTTTAAGGTTTGTATAGAGAACGCTTATAATTCTCATGTGTTTACCTTTATATGTGATTCATTGCCAGACTCTACACCTTTTACGATTTTGTCCCTGTAATGAATTTCTGGTACTTTAAGTATAATGTGATGTGGAGAAGTTCTTTTGGTTGTGGCTATTTGGGGTTCTAAATGCCTCGCTTATTTTTATATTTCTTTCCCTGTATTTGGGAAATTGGCTGCCATTATTTCTGTGAACACGTTTTTTATGGCATTTGTGTTGTCTTCTGAGTTTTTACTTATTCCAGTTACTCTTAGTCTACTTTGTGTCATCTAGCAGCTGTTGGATCCATTTTTCATGTTCTTTTGTCACTTTTAAAGTGTCTTTGAATAGTTGGTCTTTGAAGGTATCATTGCCTTGTAGTTGTGAAATTCTGACCTCACACTGATCACTTCTTCTGCCTGTACTTTCAATATAATCTTTAATCTCCTGAACTTCTGATTGAAACCTTTTCTTAGACTCTAATTATTTGCTAAGCTGGTCATTTATGTTTTGCATCATTTTGTTTAGCTCATCTAGCTTTTTATTAGTGCCTTCTGAAAGCTCCTGGATAATTTTGGTTTTTACTTTCTTTATCTGTTTAGTTATATCTTCTGTGACTCCCCTGTGTTCATCTTTCATCTGTTTTCTAATGTCTTCTATTATCCTTTTGAGCAGTTCCAAGGTGTGGCATATGCTATTCTTCCCCTCAGTGTCTCCCAGGTTGGCTTTGGGGAAGTTGGAGGTTGGGGGTTTTGGGAGGCATTTTGTTGTCTTGTCGTCTCATGTTTTTATTTTTATTTTTTGCTGAGGCCTGTAGATGGTTATAGTGTAAAGACTTTGTTGCTAGCATAGAGATCTTTTCAGTTGCTTTTCAGTGATGTACTTTGGCTGTGTCTAAGTATAGTCTTTTGCTCACCCCCAAGATCCGACCACCTCAGTTAATTTGAGAGGGGAGGATGCAGTATAATCATCCCAACATTCAGTTCTCTGGATATGTATTCTTATTATTTTTAATGTCACAAAGGCAATCTGAATGTTGGCTTGCAGAGAAATAGCAACAATTATACTACCCTGGTAATAACAAGCAAATAAACTATAGTAGTATCATCCAAGATACTTTGGATATCAACATTCTGTAAGAACCAGCCACATAGGGAGGCTGCACCATGTTAGGTGGGGGCAGAGTGGGGCTGTGCTGCATGTATGAGCAGGTGGGAGGGTATCATGCAAAGGGGAGTGGTTTGCAGCAGAGGGAGGGGGAGATGAGTGCTGGAAGCAGAGATTTACCCTGAGACCACTTCTTTCATAGCCATTTTCTCTATTTTGGAGATGAGAAGCACCTACGGTTTTATTGGAGGTTGACGTTGGGCCAAGATTGAACACCTTTTCAGACATCTGTCCTTGAGCACCACTGACAGAACAGTTCTGACAGTATTTCCTGACAGTGGACAGAAACAGTTCTACCATAGATGCTTCTCAACTAGGAATTTTTGCAGACTACATTGAAGGAAGTCATTATGTGATATAGCTTCATAACGACACTGAGGGCAGCAGGAGTGATCATAAAGACACAGATTGTTCAAAGAAAGCTTCAGAGAATACAATATATATCTTCCAGTTGCAAATATGGCTGTTTCAAATATTGGCTTAGATAATGAAAAATGCTGTACCTCAAATGGAATGATTGCAAAAAAAAATGCCAAAGAATATGCTTAGAAATGTGTGAGTGAGTTCACAAGTTTTATAACATCTGAGCCCAATGAAAGATGCCACCAGGAGAAGTGAAAGACAGTCAAAAGCAGGACATTCTCTTTGCCATGTCCACCTTAAGCTTCATTAGCTATGTGAAGTTATACCTTTCTCAGAAGTTTAGAGAGGCTATGAAAGGAGAGAAGGGAATCAGAGAAGTGGTCTCTCAGTGAAGAGCTCACAGAGGAGGGCTTCACTAGCCAGTTATGAATTGATTTAACTACAGATGATCAACCACAAAATGTTACTGTTTACACAACATCCTATCAGTCGATTTCTAGTGTTCATCAAATTCAGTTTTCATGTCTGAAGAAATGATGGAAGGGGGAGTATAGAGAAGCAAGAGTCTGTACAGTTCTGAACGGAGACATCAGAAGAAAATGACTGGTGAAAAGATGTCTCTTTGTGTTTAAAGTTACTGTAATATAGTTTCTTGATGCTTGAGTAATTGAGGTGTTAATTCTGACTTGAGAATCTTTTTCATGAATGGTTTTAAAGGAAAATTTGGATTTTAAAGGTATTAAAGTATTTTTGTTTTGTTCAGAGTTTGTTGCTCTGTATGATACCTGTCTGACTTGTATATTGCAATTTATTACTGTCAGAGATTTTGTAGACAGTTTCTTATTTTCATGTTGAATCATGTTACTTTTGTAGTTCAAGTAAGCATCTGAGTTAATTCATGATGTTAGACCTTTTTATAAAATATAAGGGTAAATTTTAAAAACAAACCATGCAGCACCCTTAACCCTAGAGAAGAAACTGACAGATATCATGACAACCCAGGTATTGATTTACAGCTAACATGTACCAAATTCGGCAACTATATCTGCCAATGGTAGAAAACAGTTCAACAGTAATTTTATAGACCCAACTATCTATCAAAAGATTAAAAAAGCTTTGTGGTCATACAGTCAAAGAGACAGGATTTGGGAATAGGGGAGTGCAAGAGGAACAGTTTGAAAGCTTAAACTATATGATATGGAAGGAGGAGAGAGAAACAGTACAAAGGAGCAGAAGGATGTCCACAGGTAGGCAACGGTAAGAGAAAAACATTGATGAGAAATGGGAGATAAAAGAAAAAGAAAGAAAAAAAGAAATGATATGGGAGGCAAAAATAAGAGAGAAAAAATTGAAGGGAAAAATTAAATGGGAGAAGAGAAAAAAGAAGCAAGAAAAAGAGACAAGAAACAAGGAAAAAGGACAAAACAAAATTTCCCAAACTCCAATAAAGTTGTGAAGAAGAAAGGGGGAAGGAAAGAAGAAAAAAGAAGAGAAAACAAAACAAAACAAAAATAAACCAAAAAACAATGCACATACTCATAAAAAAAAAACAAAAGAGAAATTTCCCTGTGATTTTGAATATGTGGTTTTACAATTTTGGGGCAGTGTCCAAGTCAAGATGTGTCCCTGTTCATACTGGTAGATAAAGAAGGCCGTGAGAACCCAGAACCACGCTGGATACAGGTACCAGCAAGCAGCAGGATTAGGGCAAGGGCACCAATGCCATGACTTTCAAATCGAGAGCAGCTCAAGTTGAGCCCGAATGTGGGCATGAGGCCTGTGTCCTCTAGTTCAAACCCTTATGGGGTTATTTTTCCAGCCTGACTATTGCTTCTTTGCCATGACTGTCTCCAGTGGCTGTCTCAGTCACTGTGGGAATGTTACACTGAGAGCCCTAAGTGAAGCTGTCCCCTTGTTGCTCTGAGTCCGGAGTTCAGACAGTTAACCCTTCCCTGGAGTGGTGACCAACCAAGCATTCTCTCTAGGGATATGGCAGGAGCTTGGACTGGAGCCACACATCAGCTCTTGCCTATCCAAGGGCTCATGTAGAAGCAGAATCCCATGTCCTACTTAGAGCTCACAACACCTTTCAGTGTGTTTCACCACATTTCTCTCTGAAGCCCTCTGGAGTCCCCAGCTTTCACTTTGTCTCTGTAGCTTTGGTCTCTCTTCTTCCAGGTCCATGAGTTGGAAGCTGAGGCGAAAGTGAGATTGTCCCTTCCCTTCTCCACATTGTGTTATTCAATTTCTCTGTATGTTTTAATTTTCCTGTCAGATCCTGGTTCTTGGGAATTGACTCTCTCTCTTTTTTTTTTCCTTTTTCCTCAAGTTGTTATTTTCCAGTGTCTGAATTCTGAATCTTGGAGACGCTGATTGTTTTTGGCTACCACTGCATCATTTTCCTGGAAGTCTCTGGTTTTTCTTTGTTTGGTTTTTTTGTTTCGTTTTGTTTTTGGTACCGGGGATCGAACTTGGATCCTTGTGCTTGTGAGGCAGATGCCGGAACCACTGAGCTAAATCCCCGGCCCTCTGGTTTTTGTTTGTAAGGGATCTTTCTTTTCATCTTTTTGTTCCTTCTCTATGCTTTCTTCATACTCCCCAGATACCTAGGTTATTTTCTACAAGTTTAGTAATCCCAGAAAGGAAATAATCTTTTCCAGTGGTTTTAGTGCTCAGCTCAGGTTAGTAACTTCGTTCATGCTCTTAACCCAGCTACCTTGCTGCCTCATCCTGGGCTGCTGTGAGGACTGATGGCCATAAGATGTGAAAGGTGTAAGGGCCTGGCGTTTGCCAACCATCGTACTGTGCTCATCACTAATCTCCAGAGGGCCAGGTGCCCAGAGACCTTGCCATTGGGCCCCACTTTTGAGACTTTTGCTTTCATGGATCGTCTTTCCTTGTTTTCACAGGGGATCAAGCTTGAAGAGCAGAGGCCAGGACCCCAGAAGAACAAGGTGGGCTGGGTGGGTAAGGTGCTAGCCAGATGGGCCTGGTGAGGTTACTTGGGTGGGAAGAGTTGGGGGAGGAGCAGTGAGCATGCTGGGCTCATCTGCCTTGGCTCTGCCCAAGTTCAGCATATTGACTGTGCCCTCATTAGTCTTGTGCCTAGTGGACAGAAAAGTGGGCCCTGGCTCAGCGCCTTTAAGCAGCTTGAGAGTAGGCTGGGGTGGAGGACTTGGGGGGAACCCAAGGATGGTAACTTGGCTGGCTCCTCCTCATTCTGTACCAGTGCCTGTGGTGTTCAGGGGTGTCAGACTCCATTAGTGCTCATCTTCAGGTTCCATTTTCAGGGCTCAAGGGTGTAGCTTATCACTTGGAGCTCAGTTACCTGGAAAGGGCTGTTGATTGAGACTAGGACGTCCTATTTTAGCACCCTAGAGCACAAGCTGGTCTCAACAGGGGCAGTAAGGTCAGGATCTTTATATGCTGCATCTCCAGTTCCTTGGGTTTGCAGTTGGGTTCTGTCAGTTTGGTGAGGAGCTCAGTGGACCTCAGATATCAGATCCTGGAGCTGCCTCTAGGCTGTTCTTCCATCTTATATGCTTCCCCCAAAGTCCTGTTAAAGACTTATGGGTCCCCACACACACTTCTCCCCAGACCCAGAAGAGAGACTTAGAGACAGTAATCTGCCGTTATTTTCATGGGACTAATGGTGCTGTTGTCTGGTTTGTCTTGCAGGATGACTATATTCCGTACCCCAGCATTGATGAGGTAGGAAGGCCCCTGCTGCATTGCAGCATGATCTGGGTCCCACCCCCGAGGAGATGATAGCACTTCCCAACCCCACATGTGAGAGAACGCTGGGCCTAGACTCAGGCCTGAGGCCTCTTTCCATCTTTACCTTTGTGATCTAAAATTGTCTGTGTTTAAATTGGGGGTGCCCATCCAGGCCTTGCAACCCTCAGTCCCAGGGTCAGCCAGTGAAGCTGGAGATGCTGTGGGGTTCAAATTAGAAATTCCTATTACTGGCTTTGGCCTCAGATACCAGGGTCCTCTCCTTGGAGCAGTTTAGAGGTAGGTGGGGACACCATTGGTGCCCTCCACTCCCCCTGTGGTTCCAGGGCAGCTGCAAGGCAAGACCCTCCCTCTGCTTCCAGGTTGTGGAGAAGGGGGGCCCATACCCTCTGATCATCCTGCCCCAGTTTGGGGGCTATTGGATTGAGGACCCAGAGAACGTGGGCACTCCGACATCACTGGGCAGCAGCATCTGTGAGGAGGAGGAAGAGGACGGCTTCAGCCCCAACACATTTGGCTATAAGCTTGAGTGCAAGGCTGAGGCCAGAGCCTACCGCAGGCACTTCCTGGGGAAGGTGAGGCCCAGGGACCCTGGAGAAAAGAACGGCCAGCTGGAGAAGTGCTCTGGGAGACCCAGGGATGCTGTCTCTGGTGCCCCTTTTGTTATTTCTGCTTTATTTTCTCATGGCCTGTCCCCTCTTGCTGCCTACCTCTCCTAGTTGGAGAGGTCTGACTGGCAATGTCCTGGGGCTGTGAGCAGGGGCAGTATAGAACCCATGATACGTCCTTGTGGGGACCACCCCAGCAAGTGGGAGGTGATAGGAGGGTGGTGTTTGCAGGTGTTTGTAGGTGAAGGAGGCTGGGCTGGACTTTTAATTGTTCAAGGAAAAATATGTCCTTATACCTTGGATGTCTCTGTTTCCATCTGCATACTAGCTAGCCATCTCTTGTGATCTCATTCAGACAGGTCTCCTGAGTAGTACATGACTGGATGGTGTGCTGTGAGCCTCTGATTGCTTCAAAGTGACAAATTTATATTTCTCTAAATAAAAGGTGTGATCAAAATACACAGTGAATGTTAAAAATTTTATTGTAGTAAATGACATATTGCCATTAATCCCCCTCAAAATACTTCCCTTCATAACTTTGTGAAGCAGTTCTGGAAGTTCTTTTTCATGAATATCTTTATAAAGTGTGATCAAAAATACAGTGAATGCTACTGTCTTATGCCATCCAGTGGAAAGACAGGTTTGTAAGGACTGATGGTGTGTTCTCATCCATTTTATTTACCAGATACGGCACCATGCAACTTCTGGCTCTTTCCCAAAGTCAAAATGACTGTGAATGGTAAACATTTTGAATTGACACAAGACATGGAGGCAGCTAGGACAGCATAACTAAAGACACTCACAAAAGAGGACTTCCAGAACTGCTTTAGAAAGTGGCAAAAATGATGGCACTAGTATTTTGAGAGGAACTAATTTTGAGAGTATTTTGTTTGTGTCAACAAACAAATAACAACTGGATTTACTATGGGTTTTTTTTCCTTTTTTTGTACCAGGGATTGAACTCAGGACCTTGTGCTTGTGAGGCAGGTGCAGTGCCACTGAGCTAAATCCCTGGCCCTTCACTGTATTTTTTGATCATGTCTTTTATGATCTCCTCTTTGGAATTGCTAGAACCCCCTGGGTCCTGAAGGGAGATTCTGAAAACCTAGCCTAAGGCAGCCTTGGGCTTTTCAGAATCTCTTTTGGAGAAGGCTGCAACCAAAACCACTAAGCTACAGGGAATCTTGTTAAAATGCAGATTCCAGGGCCCCATCCTGATTCGGTGGGCCTGGAGTGGGGTCCAGTCAACCTCTTATGTTTGTAGTCTGTGCTCCCTGAGTCAGAGAGGCGCCCCTGGTGCAGAGGATCTCTTGGCTTCCCTTGGTTGGAGGTGCTGGGTTCCTTCTAGTTTTCTTTCACAAATAGCCTGGAGAGAGAAACTGAGCTCAGTACCTGGTGATGAAGAGCTGAGACAGATGTAGATTTGAATAGTGGATCTGTCACTGGTTGTGTGACCGTGAGTGGTTACTTAACTTACCTGGTCATTGGTTTCCCCCTCTGTGTGAAAAAGAGTGTTGACTTCATCTCCTGAATAGTCTTGGTTAGGCTTAGAGAAGATAATGATTATTAAGCCCACAGCACAGTGCCTGGCACTTCTTGAGATGCCTATTAATTTCTTTTTTTTTTTTGGTGCCGGGGATCGTTGAGATGCCTATTAACATAGTCATTGTTGTCATCATTGTCATTGTCATCGTCGCCATCATCATCATCATCATCATCATCATCATCATCACATCATCATTATCACATCATCAAATAGCTGCAGCAGTAGCTGCAGCATCCTTTATTCCCTCATTTCCGTGAGGCTTCTCCCTCTTGGTGAAGTGATAGTTTTGGGGTACATTTCCAGAGGCTCACCTGCTCTTCATTCATACCTGATTTCTATTTCTAGGATCATCTAAACTTTTACTGTACTGGCAGCAGCCTGGGGAACTTGATCCTGTCCATCAAGTGCGAGGAAGTGGAGGGGATTGAGTACCTTCGGATCATTCTCAGGTGGGGCTGCTGCACTGGTCCAGGCCACACACCTTTTTCCATGGGGTTCCCATGGGGAGGGGCAGAGATATTAGTCTGACCAGTTTGGTCTGGCTCAGTTGGAGGGACTAACCTGCTGGAATCCTGGAGCTGTAGATATAGTTGTCAGGCTGTGAAACCGAGGTGTGATTCTCAAAGTCACTTAGAACAAACCCTTAGTTGCCCCTTTTTATTATAAGGGACTGTGATGGGAAGATAGAATAGGGATGGCTCAAGCTGAGACAACAGGTGCATGTCCTAGAGAGGGTTGGCCAGAACACTTTCTATGGTGACCATAGGATCCCAAAGCATTTGTTGTATATGCTGGGTTCCTGAAGCTGGAGTGTTGTTCACAACAGGAGCCTTGATTTGTAGCAGAAACCAGGACATTTCACTCTGGATTATGACCGCTTCAAGGGCAGGAACTGGAACTGGTTTCTGTTTGGTTCAACTAGCATGCTTTGTAAAACCTCCCTTATACCAGGAATTGGGGATGGGTATTGGGAATGCAGTGGTGACCAAGGCCTGGTTCCTGTTTGCTAAAGGCTTATGGTTTGCAAGAGAAAAACAGAGCTTTAATATGCATCACAAGCATTATTAGTCTTATGATCAGGATGCTATGGGATCCCAAAGGAGTCTGTTCCTGTCCCTGGTGAGGGGGTCCCACGCAATTGTGGCAGGAAGGCAGGAAAGCCAAGGGCTGGCTGGTCCTTAGAAGACTATGTCAACCTGTTAAGTTCTCAATCATTATTTATCAAATCTAATTGGAAGTTCTTGAAGGTATTTGGAAGAGAGTAATAACATTTTTTTCTGAAAAGTTTTATTTTGAAGTAAATATAGAAAGGAATAAGAACATGTAACCTTGCTTTGGGAACAGTAGGAGGGAATGTGGTTTGAGGAAGTGTTCAGGCACATCTAACTGTGGCTTGCTTTTTTTTTTTTTTTTGGTACCGGGGATCGAACTTGGGACCTTGTGTTTGTGAGGCAGGCAGCAGAACCACTGAGTTAAATCCTCGGCCTTGCTTCTTATTTAGAAAGGAATCAGTTGTCTTTACAGAGGTTCACCTGGGTAGACAGCATTTGCAAGGCATGGAAGAGTCAAGTAAATAGCTAGAGACAATTCTCCGAGGGATTAATACCTGGATCATGTCTCCAAATAGAAGTTATAGTTAGATGAGCCTTTATAAAGAGAATTGCTTCCTTTCTTAATAAAAATGAGACCAAGATTGCATGGGATCTCAGAGTAAGATGACAAGTGAACTCAAGAATCTAAGCCCCCTTTCCTAATGCTGTATTCTACTAAAATGCTGCATTAAGATTGAAAGCTAGAGAAAGGTGCCAGATATAACACACACTCTGTGGTTTTTAAAAAATTATAATCTATGGGACAGTTGGGACCAATTTGTAGATGATACTGAACTGAACTTCAGTCTTCCTTCCTTAGAAAGCAAAGTAATATGGAAATATGAAATTAGAAATTCTGAAAGGATCCCATACTCTTTAGGAGTGAGAGGGAGCCCTGAATAGTCAGGGATCTTTCCACATAGAACTGCTTTTGTTATTTTGGGTCAACAGCATTTGAAATCAGTATCCTGGGAAGCCCAAAGGCAAGATCACATGTGGCTCTTCCTAGTAGAAACCCAGTGGGAAGGGTGGCAGAGAGAGACCATTCACCAGCTAGGAAGTTGGACAGTGATGCCATGTACTTAGAATGACTGCCAAGCCAAATTGGAAACCAAGCATAACAAATAGGGCTCATGGCTTAGCAACTTTACCAAAGACAAAGAAGAACTTATCCAGAGATGAAATTCACTTGTTGGCCATGACTGCTGTTCCAGCTTCTTCCTCATTCCCCACAGACTTCTGGATTATTTAATTGATATCCTAAATATATAACAACCAAATCTCCTAAATGTCCTAAAATCTGAGAAGAGCATTATAACCTTTGTGTGTGCCATGAGAGTAGCCAAATAGAATCTGTGCACTGTTTGGAGACATTTCTTCATGTATTTAAGGACCATTTCTATTTATTTGTTGTGAACTCTCTGTTTATAAGTTTTGCTCCTTTTTCGATAGGGTTGTCATTTGAAATTTCTATTTTAAAAAATCTTGTAGGTAGTTCTTGGTACCAAGTAGATGGAGGAACTTGTGAACCATGAAGTAAATCTAAATAAATTTTTAAAAGCAGACATACTACTAGATATATTCACTTACATGATGACAATAAAACTAGAAATTAAGAGAAAAAGAATATTTTTGAAAACTCACTTAGAAATAAAAGATTGAATAATTTCATAAGTAATTTTTAGGCTAAAGAGGAAATTAAAGCTACAGTTATAGAGTATTTATAAAGTAATGACATTTATAATATTACATAAAAAGTCTTATGGGTTGTAGTCAAAGCTGTATGTAGAAGAAAATGTATTGTCTTTCAGAGTTCTTTTAATTAAAGTAAAAAAGAATGGTATTTGCAAGTTTTTGTTGTTGTTAGTAGCCTGTCTGTGCCTCGCTTTCCTTATCTGTGAAATGATAATGTTTACCTAAAAATTATTGAGTGCTTATGTAGAGCCTCATATATTGTAGCTACTCAATAACATATTTTATATTAAACTATTCAAGAGAAAAAATATGGAAAGCTTCCCAGTTAATTCAGTGATGTTTAAAAGATCCTCATGAAAAAAAAGGCAAATGAAAAGAAAAAGAAAAATAGGGAATAGGGCCCAGTATTTTTTATGAATATAAAAAGAAACATTTTATTTATTTATTTTTGGTACTGGGGATCCAACTCAGGACCTTGTGCTTGCAAGGCAGGCAGTGGAACCACTGAGCTAAATCCTCAGCCCCAGAAAGAGACATTTTAAACCAAGTATTAGGAATAATTCAGTGTAGTCTAGAAAAAGTTATTTTAGCAATTCAAGGATGGCTAATATGAGAAAATGCATTGTTCATTTAGTGTTTGCTTAACCAGTGCTTAATCTGTGCCAGACTTTGTGCATTGATAGAGATACTGTGAGAAGTAAGTTCCTACTTTGTTACTTGGCCATAGAAAACATTCAGTGTACTTTAGATATTCTTATTCCTTTTGTTAGGTTTACCATCTTGTGGACATGGATCATCATAGGCTAGGGAGAATGATGCAAAACATTGATGGGGAGGGAGAACTGAGAGAAGTTCACACCAGCCTGAGTGTGGAACGTACATTGGAATTGTGTTCAGAGAGCAATAGGAAAGCTATGGAAGGGAGAAGGTCATGATCAGATCTGTAGTCCAGTCACTCTGGCTAGAAAATAAGGAGAATGGCTTGGAGGATGATGTGATGAGCCAGGGGATGATCCAGGTGAATGGCACCTCCAGAGCTACGCAGATCAACAGCCAGGAGGAGAAGGGAACCAGAGTATCTTGCACTGAAAATAGAGAAAAGTGGGTGGAATATTCCAAATACCTGGGGAAAACTGCCATTAAGAAAGACAGCCCAAATGTCAACAGATGGGGAGATAGATTAACTGCTAATGAAATGCAAATAATATGCTTTCAAAATAACTTAAATATATTTAAGATCCTAAGAAGACAAAGAATGAGTAGCATCTGTAGAATGGGTAGTAGATTGTAATACAGAGAAATAAATGGAGCACTTGGATATGTAAAGAAAACAATTAGATTTATTAGAAATAAAAGAATAGCTGTTGAAATAACACATAAGATAAAATCTAGTCTGTTCAAAGAGTGAATTTGTAAATCAGAAGATAGTCCCAAGGAATTCACCCAGAACACAGCACAGATAAAGAGATTAAGTATATGAAAGAGAAGATCAGATATGTAGATAATAGACTGGGTGGCCTCAGCATTTGGTTTAAAGGAATTCCAGAAGAAAAGAATAGAGAGATTAGTGAACAAACACCCAGAGGTAATAGCTGAGAATAATTTAGAATGGAATAAGGTACACAGCCTGCTGTTAAACCCAATTTTAAAACAAATAAATACTCTTAGACAGATGGAAGTGGAACATCGAAAATCAAAGTTTAAAAAATATTAAACCCACCTGAAGATAAAGACAGATTAGCTTTGAAAGAGTGACAAGGGTGAGAGCAGATTTCTCCTTAGCTGAAATAGTGTGGGAAGACAATGGGACAGCAGTATCTTTAAAGTTTGAAAGCAAGCAAGAAAGAAAGAAAGGAAAAAAGAAAGAAAAAAAGAAATGCTCCTAACCTAAGATTCTTTACATGGAAAAACTATCAGCAAAGACAAAACTGTTTTCAAACATAAAAACTAAAGAGTATGTACTACTCTTAGAATCTCCCTGGAAGAACTATTAAGGGAAAAAAGAGGACCCAGAAGAAAAGTTGTAGTTAAAAAGTAGCAAGAGATGAGATGAAGTATATTAATAAATTTGTGTACTTATTGGAAAAAAGAAGTAACTTTATAAACATAAGTAGCACGGACAAGAGGAAGGGAAGACGTCAGTAGATAAATCATACTTTATTGTTTTACCTTTAACCCCCCACCCCAGGAGAGAACAGTTTTAAAGTTTGTTGCAAATAATATAAATATATATATTGGGAGATATAGAAATATAAACTATAGCTCCCAAACTAGCAGAGGGATAAAAAGAGAATAATAAAACAAAACCCAAAATAACCCACAAATATAGATGGGTGTAGTGGCCCATGCCTGTAATCCCAGTACTTGGGAGGCTGAGGCAGGAGGATTGCCATGAGTTTGAGGCTAGCCTGGGCTACACAGTGAGTTCAAGCAGACTGAACTACAGAGTGAAACCCTGTCTCAAAAACTGACAAACAAACCCCAAAACTCCCATAACTTTTTCAGTTGAAGCGAGGAAAGGAAAGGGATTAAAAAAAAGAAAGGAAAAAAGCCCCCACAGAGAATATAACATGTAAAATATAAAATGCTACATTAGAAATAATTTCAAACGTGTGAGTAGCTGCAATAATTATAGATTAAATTAGCCTACTAAAATATCAGACTATATTAGATTGAATTAAAAATGCAGCTATAATCTGTTTATGACTCATACTTAAGGCAAAATTAGACAGAATAGAATTCCAGGAAAAAAGCATTTTGGATAAAGAAAGTACTCAGTTTAATTTGGGAATATGATGTGTAGCCATGTTCTTTCTCCTTTTCCTCTTGGACCTTTCTCCTGAGCAGCACCCACAGAAAGAGTCTTGCCTCTGCCCAGGTCTGTCACTATCTGTGACTGGATGGGCAACATATCTAATTCTGGGATTCAGTTAGAAATATTATTTCATTTTCATACTAATCTGTGTGTACCTGTGTGGCCTTTATCAGTAACACAGGAGTTGTTTTGACTCCCAGCTGCCTTATTCTTTGTTATGATTTTGTTTCAGATTTTGTTTAGAATCTGGCTGGGGAAAGATGCCTTTTGTTGAGCCCCCTCAAAAGCCTCAGCCTAGATAATGATAAAGAGAACAGGCCACCCAGGTCTAACAGTCATGGACAGGTACTTAGGAACACAGCCTTAAGTTTAAGAAACAAAAATTGACATAAATATAAGGAGAAGCCACTGGGTGTAGTGGTGCATGCCTATAATCCCAGCTACCCTGAAGGGTGAGGCAGAAGGATTTCAAGTTCAAGGACAGCCTGGGCAACTTAGTGAGACTCAGACTCAAAATGAAATAGAGGCCGAGGATTTATCTCAGTGGCCCTGCTCCTGCCTTGGAACAGCAAGGTCCTGAGTTTGATCCCCGGTACCAAAAAAAAAAAAAATCAAATAGAAAAAGAACCGGGGGTGTAGCCCAGTGGTAGAGCTCTTGCCTAGCATTCGTGATGCTCTGGGTTTGATGTTCAGTACAGAAGCAACAACAACAACAGAATGGAGTGGGGGGTAGACAAATCCTGTTACAACGAGAGATTTTGGTTAACATCTTTTAGAAAATAATAGGTCAAGGAGACCAAAAATTGCAAAGATATAGAAGATTTGAACAATAAATGAACAATTTGATCTTGTAATTTATATTCCCATTCACAGCAAAAGAAAAAAATCCTTTTCAAGCCCACGTATGCAATATGAAAAGTAAGAAAATAAAAGGACCATGAAAAAAGAAAAGACCGTGTATTAAGTCAACAAATTTTAAGTAGTATCATATAGATTATATTCCCTGAATATAAGACAACTAATTTATAAATCAACAATTGTAGTATTGAAGGAAACAAATTTCATATTAAAAATTTAAAAACCCTTTTAAACAACTGTTGGGCTAAAGAGGCAATCACAAAAGAACTGACAAAATATTTAGAGCTAAAAGACAGTAAAAATACTACCCATCAAAATATGTGGGATGCAGGAAGTGGCACTTACAGGGGCTGGGGATTTAGCTCAGTGGTTCCCCCGCCTGCCTCACAGGCGCAAGGACCCGAGTTGGATCCCTGGTACCAAAAAAAAAAAAGTCATACTTACAGAGAGATGCATGGTTCTAAATGCATTTATAAAAATGAAGAAAGGTTAAATGCATATCCATGCAAATCAGGAAGCTAGAAAAAGAATAATAAAAAGAAACCTGAAGAAAATGAAATTAAAAAAAACAAGAAAAGTGAAAGGAAGCAAAAGTAAATATTAGAGGCCATCAACAAAACCAAAAACTATCTCTTTGAAAAAACTAATAAAATAGCCAAACCACCAGCTAAGGACTGAAGAAGGAAAACCTAAAAGATGCCAATAGTATTAAGCGGTGAAGGAGAGGACACACTACTAATAAAGATGAAATCCTAAGAGAGACCCAAAACCCAACTTTTAATTCAGTGCATTTGATGGATACTTTTATAGAAAAACTTAAATTACCAAAAGTGATTCAGTAAGGAGTAGGAAACCTAAACATTCACCACTAAAGAACTATAAAGTATCCTTCTGTAAAAAACCAAACCAATCAGTGGTTTTGCCGCCTGCTGCGCAAGCGCTAGGACCTGAGTTCGATCCCCTGTACCAAAAAAAAAACCAAAAAAAAAACCAAACCGAAACCAAAACCAAAAAACAAAAATCCAGCACACTGGGTGCAGTGGCCCATACTTGTAATCCCAGCTACGCAGAGCGTGGAGGCAAGAGGATCACAAATTCAAGGCCAGCCCGGCAGTTTAGGGAGAAGACCCTGTTTCAAAATGAAAAATAAAAGAGTTGGGGGGTGTAGTTTAGGGGAAAGAACAGGGTTCAATGCTCAGTACTGAAAGTCAAACAAACTAACCTAAACAAACCAGCACAAAGAACAAATAGCAGGCCCAGAGATGTCATAGATGAGTTTTAGCAAATGTTTAAGGAATAGAAAAATCCATGTATTATATAAACCATTTTAGAGGACAAGAAGCTATCCCACAATTTTATGTGGCTGGAATACTTCCATACTATCAAAAGCTAGCATGGGAAGTACAAGAACAAGTATTAGGCCAGTGTTTCTTTTGAACATAGATGTGAAAATATAAATAAACTGTTAACCAATTAAATTCAGCATGATACTAAAAATAATAAACAAGTGGAGTTTTACTCATGGAATGAAAAGATGGCTCAACAGAAATGTAATCCACCAGGTTAACAGATTAAAAACCATATGATTATCTCGGCAGATGCAGAAAAGCATTCATGAAAATTCAACACTTTCATAATGTGCTAAATGAATCAGGGGAACAGGCTAAATTTAGGTGAATCCTTTTTTAAAGCAGATTCCATCCCATTTATATTTTGAGTAAATCCAGATTTTCAAATATTAGATTTATCCTTTCATACCAGTTCATTTGCATGTCCATGTCCAAATATTTACAGAAGCCAGGCCCTGTTCTTGGGGACAATACAAAAAAATTCACAAATAAATGAAAAAATAATGGTGACCTTGAAGGTGGCTAGTTGCATTTCCCCAATTTCAGTGGCAGATGACTCTGGCAGGCATGTACTTTAAATATCCCCCCACCATGGGGTACCTAGGCAGGATTCCATTTTCCCACTGTTGGAGTGTGGTACCTCACACATAGGCTGAACGAACACAGGCTGGTCTGGCCCTGGGGACACCTGAAACAAGTGCCCCTGTCTGGCGTGATCTTAGCCACCTTCCTCACGGACTCCATTTCCTGCAGGTCCAAACTGAAGACAGTGCATGAGCGGATCCCCTTGGCTGGACTAAGCAAGTTGCCCAGTGTCCCGCAGATTGCAAAGGTAAACAACCCCTGAGGGAAGGTGGCTTCAGCTGTCCCCCAGGGCTGGTCTCTGGGGTAGGGCGCAAGCTCTGCCCTTGGAGGAGGGGAAGCCACTTTTTTCTGCCACTCTTGACTTCATGGGTGAGAGTGGGGGCTATTGGCAGCTGTTCCCGCCTTCCCTTCCCCTCCTCACCTCATCCTTGCTGCCTGGTTGCCACCCCAAATAGTTCACAGCTCGTTTTGGAGATAAGAGAAACAGGAAGCTAGGCTGGTCGTAGTGAGTGCTGTAGGATTTCAGAGGAAGGGTGAGAGGAGAGGCCGGGGAAGCTTTCACAGCTGAGGACAGGAGGAGGGATGATCCAGACCCAGGACTGCCTTGAATAAGGAGCTATCACGGGCTGCTCGGGTAGAGGGGCCCATATCACTGCTTTGAGAACAGGGAACTTGGGAACTGAATCAGCAAAGAGGGGTGTTCAGCTGGAGTGAGTTGGGTCCTCACTCTGGGAACAGGAATGTTAACAGAATTTGTGCCAAGTATCTTTGGTGGGAGTTGGGGTAGGCTGGCTTTTTGGTATTGTTTACTGATCAGAGCGGAGATCAGTCTCAGGGTTTGCCACCCCCCTTTATCAGGAAGCCCCAGAAAGGTTATTTAACTAGTATAGGCATACATTAGTGAGCAGCAGAGCTACAATTCAATCCCAGACCCCTGACCCCGCCTTTCTCACCCTGCCATGCTGCTTTCTCTTGGTGGGCACAGGAGCCCTGATGTATTCCACAGATGTGGCCCCTGAACTATGTGTTTCTCTTCCTACTTAGGCCTTCTGTGATGATGCTGTGGGGCTGAAATTCAGCCCTGTCCTGTACCCTAAGGTGAGGACCTTCTTGCTCCCCCTTTCCTGGTATCCAGGGCTCTGCAGCTTGGCGTAGATTTGCACACCCATGGCTTGCTCTATGGGGAGTTCTCTGGATCATGGTGGGGCTTTCTGGGGTCTCCATGATAAACCTCTCCCTCTCTCCCTGCCCACTTCTTCACAAAATGGTCCACTGGGAATCCATCCTCAGCATGCCTGGGTCTCTAGCCTACCTGAGCAGATCCCCAGCTTGCTGTGAAGGTGGCAGAGGGTAGCAGTTTGGTTGCTTCTTTACCTCACCAAAGTCGAACCTCTCTGAGGCCTGTGCTGGGGCAGGCATGAGTCTCTCTGTCACTGGGAGCTGGTGCAGATCCACTCTGCTGTCATAGAGGGCTAGGGTAACGAGGGTGGACACAGACTAAGAAGTAAAAGGCCAGACTTCCACTCCCTGGTGCCCATGTTACCTTAGCTCCGAGGTCTTACAAGCCCCTGCTGGCCTTAGTTAATAAACTGGCTGGTTCTCAGATGGCGGTTTTCTTAGGAGTGGCCTGATCTTGACTCCAATTCTGATGTGGGGGTGTGAGTCGGGAGAAGCACAATAATAATGAAACAAACCAACAAATGCACTCAAGAACAATTATGGCATGACAGGACTTAAATCACCGAAGGATGGAAAATTGTTTGAAATTGGCTACAGGAAAAGACCCACGAACTGACTGCTGCTTCCTGAGCCTGCAGGATCTGGAGGGAGAAAACCGAGGGAGAGCTGTGCTTCTGGCCTTCCCGCTGTGGCCAGTGCTGCGGCAGCTGAGGCTTGCTGGGGCTGGCTGTGTCCATGCCCCAAGTTCTAACTGACAACCAGGGACTATGTGATGAATGTGTGGTGGGGAAGAGAGGCCCCCATCCTGGTGAAACACCCAGAGACCCCTGGAATAAATGCCTTAAATGACAATGACTGGGTGTGACACACTCCAAAGCATCTATTGATCCCTCTGCTAAGTAGCAGAGGCCTCTCCTAAAAAGTCCTTCTCCCGTACGCTTCTTTTAGCCATTTTAGTGCCTGAAGACACTACCAGTAATGTGCTGCATGCCCAAGAACGTTTCTTATTATTCAGACTGACCTCTTTTAATAATTTTTATTTATTTTTTAAAATTTTTTATTTTTATTTTTGGTACCGGGGATTGAACTTGGATCCTTGTGCTTACACAACAGACGGTGGAACCACTGAGCTAAATCCCCGGCCTAATAATTTTTTATAGCAAAATATTTATGGGTACATTTTAGGTATACATAATGATAACACTCATTATAGGGAATGTGGGCCTGTATATAATACTTCCTGCCTCTTTTTTCCCCTTCTTCCCCTCCCCCCAGGCCCCCTCCCCTCCCTATATACAAAAGCTTTATTTCCATTTTTTCCTTCCTCTTTTATAATTAAAGCTTAATTAGTGAAGTTTAACCACACATTAAAACCCCATCATAAAGATTTAACTGAACTATAGGTTTGGCATTTTTTGTTGTCAAATCCTATTCACTGAGAACCCAGTGATGTGCATCTACATGGCTCTATCACTTGGAAAGTCTCCAGACCTGGGAATAATGGAAGAGCAGCTGTATTTTCATGTTTTCTATATCTGAAAACATCCATTACTGTTTAAGACCATTTGGGATATTAATCTGGCCGAGGTGTGTGTGTGTGTGTGTGTGTGTGTGTGTGTGTGTGTGTGTTTTAGAAATTTGCAGTTTAGAATGTTGCTTGGAAGGTCTCCATGGCCTGGTGCCTCTTCCTGACAGGGCAGCTGATCCTCCCCTTGGACTCATCCAGGCAGAAGTGAAGGGCTTCTGTGCAGCCAGCAGGGCTCTTGCTGGGGGTGCTGAGAAGTGTCCATTCCCTCAGACAGCTGAGAACAGAAATATGCAGAGAGTAGTAAGCTAACTTGGGCCTCATATTCCAGCCAGCAAGTCATGCCTGGTTTGTTCTTTGCTAGCAGAACACATGGTTGGATCCCTCCTTTTTATTACAGAAGGATCCCAGCAGCACCTAACAAGCTGGTCACCTCTGATTTCCTGGAGGTTCATACATCATGATGATGATGACGATGATGAAGAAGAAGAAGATGATAGTTGCTCTGTGCTCAGTACTTTATGCGACTGGTCTCATAGCTACACATTTCCATTTAATAGAGGAAGAAACTGAAGTCCAGAGAAATTAAGTGTCTCACTCAAAGCTACATGGGTAAAAGGAGCAGATTCAGAGCTAGACTTTATTTTTTTTGACCCCCAAACATCAACTCTATGAGGCATTCTAGTTAGAAACAATGGCCAGGCTTCTTTTTTGTCTTTGCATATCTTATTAGGTGTGTTTGTCTTTAGAGACTGCTCATTTTATGGATAAAAGGATTAAGTCTGGACAGGAGCATTGACCTGCTCAGAATTATACTTCTGAGAAGAGATGGAAATAGAACTGGAGCTATCCTTGCTGGCCAGTTTTGAGGTTCTGGCTTTACTTTTTACACGACAGATAAAATACTGGGGTAAGGTTAGTTCCATGAGTCTCACTGGACTCCTTGTGTGCTCAAGCTGTGTCTGGGACATTTGGATGGGAACAGAATGGATGATGTGTGTGGGGGGGTTACTAGTGGAGAAGCCCTGGTATTGGGAACTAGCTAACCTGTATCCTGTCTCTTTCTCTCCCTCATATGTGTAGATATCTCTTACGGGGAACACACTCTGTACCCAAGTGGGCACTTCTTCTTTCATTTGCTTCTTTACTTGTCTCCAAGTTAACAACAATCTTGATTGTTTTTCTTCCCCACATTTTCTAGGCCTCTCAAATGATTGTGTCCTATGATGAGCATGACGTCAACAACACATTCAAATTTGGGGTCATTTATCAGAAAGCCAGGCAGGTAAGCACCATGACTCCATATTGATCACTGTGTCCTATGGTTTCTCACTGAGGACTCCTTATCTTTCTATCCACAGGGCAGGAGTCCTGAACTATATTCTTAAACAATCTAAATATAACTGTCACATTTAAGTATGAATTGGACTGGCAATGGCAGGATCTTCAAGGAAGGCTACTTTTTACAAAAAGGTCTGCAAGTCTTTTAAATGGTAGTGTAGTTTTTAAACTGTAGAATCTGATTCTTCCTGGTTATCTTAGTAAAAATCTTATTCGTCCTGGTTATCTCAGCGTATATTTATCTATGGGCTGTCAGTCACTAGAAAAAGTAAATTAAGTCAAGGGATCAGATAGTAGCTTATGCTTAAGAGAGTAGCTTATGCTTAAATTACTTTCAAATTCTCCCATTCTCTCAGCCAGGAATTAGCTTTTTCTCCCCAAACTTCAGTGGTGTGCTGGAGCCAATTGTGTGCATCTCCCTAACTCTGCATTTACTGACATCATATTAGTGGCTTGAAATCAGCCATGGAAGTATTTATACTATGAAAATTGACAAACCGCAGTTTCTGTTTCCTGCTTTATAGAGCCAGTTGTTAGAGCCATTTGTTAAAGAATTTATCAGCACATCACAGCTTCCCTCCTCTGCCTCTTGTAGTACTCTATTTACAAATTAAGCCTTGGAGTTAGCTGACCAAAATAATATTTCTCTAAAAAGGATATGCATAGGAAAGGAGAAGTCAAATTATCATTATGTATAGATGACATAATCCTTTATATAGAAGACCCAAAAAACTCCACCAAAAGGTTCCTAGAATCAATAACCAAATTCAGCAATATAGTAGGATATAAAATCAGCACACAAAAATCAATAGTGTTCCTGTATACCAATAATGAACTCACAGAAAAATAAATTAGGAAAACAAGACTATTCACAATAACATCAAGAAAAATTAAGTACATAAGAATTAACCTAACCTTGGGCCGGGGATTTAGTTCAGTGGTTCCACCGCCTGCCTCGCAAGCTAAGGACACGAGTTCAATCCCCGGTAGCAAAAAACAAAACAAAACAAAGAATTAACCTAACCAAGGAAGTGAAAGATCTCTATAACAAAAACTATAGTACTATGAAAAAGGAGATCAAAGAGGACATGGTAAAATGGAAAGCTGTCCCCATTCCTGGATAAGAAGAGCCAGCATTGTCAAAATGACTATACTACCAAAACTAAAGGTAGATTTAATGCAGTCCAAATAAAAATACCAACAGCATTCCTCACAGAACTAGAAAAGCTATCCTAAAATTTATACGGAACCAGAAGCGACCCAGAATAGCAAAAGTAATCATGGAGAACAAAAAGCAGGAGACAGGATCACAATCCCAGATTTCAGGTTACACTACAAGGCTACAGTGATAAAAAACAGCATGGTACTGGCACAAAAACAGACATGCAATCAATGGAACTGAATAGAAGATGAAGAAACAACCCCAGGCACATGAAGTCATCTGATCTCTGACAAAGGAGCCAAAAGCATATGCTGGAGGAAAGATAGCCTCTTTAGCAGATAGTGCCAGGAAGCTGGTTATACACACAGAGAAGATTGAATCTAGATCCATATCTATCACCATGTACCAAAATAAAATAAAAGTGGATCAAAGACATAAATATTAAAACAGAAACAATCTGCTGAGAAATAGGTAAAACTCTTGAAGACATAGGCATAAGAAAAGACTTTAAGTAGAATTCCAGTTGCACAAGAAATAGCATCAAGAATCAACAAATGGAGTTATATCAAATTAAAAAGCTTCCACATAGTAAAGGAAACAATCAATAGAGGGAAGAGACAACCTACAGAATGAGAGAAAATTTTTACTAGCTATTCCTCTAACAGAGGACTAATACCTAGAATATACAAAGAACTCAAAAGAATCAGACCACTTAAAATGAAAGACCTAATCAAAAATTCAGCAACTGAAATAAATAGACACTTCTCAGAAGTACAAATGGCCAATAAATACATGAAAAAATACTCAACATCTCTGGCCATCAGAGAAATGCAACATCTTACTCCAGAAAGAATGGCTACCATCAAAAAATCAAACAATAACAGATGCTGGTGAGTCTGTGGGAAGAAAGGAACTCTTCTACATTGTTAGTAGTTAATGTAAACTTGGACAACCACTATGCAAAACAGGAGATTCCTCAAAAAATGAAAACCAGAAATTCCATTCAATCCATCTATTCTCCTTCTTAGTTATCTTCCCAGAAGAGTTAAACATCATACCACAATGATACATGCAAGCACGTTTATAACAGTACTACTTTTGATAGCTAAATCTTGGAACTGGCCTATATATCCAATAGCAGATTAATGGATAAAGAAAATGTGGTATTTATACACAGTGGAGCACTATGCCGCCTCAAAAAAAGGATAAATTTGAGTCATATTTAGGGAAATGGGTGCATCTTGAGACCATAATGTTATGTGAAATAAATCAGACACACAGGCTTAAATATTGCATAACTTCTCTTATATAAAAAACTCAAAGGGCAAATAATTTGAAAAACAAAGTAAAAGATAGGCAGTAGGAAACAGGGAGAAAGATCTTTTGCAAATGGGAAGGAGATCTAGAGATGGAGGAGGTTGTAAGGATGGGAGGGAAAGGGAAATAAAAAGAATTAAGATTTATTAAGTATATTTACCTACTCCCATCAACGAATGTAAATGTCATGTACTACAAACATATACTAATAAAAATATATAAGAAACAAAATAATGTTTCTCAAAGTGTGATTCCATGAGATATTTATCTAACAAGGTATTCTGTGAGCAGATGACTCAGGAGAGGGGTGTTGGTTACGTAGGAACATTTTAAAGCCTTCTAAGAAGCCCCAAAGTGAACAACACCTGTTTATAGTTTCGTTGAACTCAGTGTTTTTTATTTATTTGACTGTGAACTTCCCATCTTCCCGATCTCTTTTCCACCACGAACACTAACATCTTAGCAGAGTGGTCAGCCAAACACATTCATGTCTTCTCACCCAGGTGCTATGAGAAGAATCTTCCACACCCATTTCATCTCTGTATTATCCAAGAGCCTAGCATAGCGACTTTGTATGAATACACTCAGCTGTTATGAGAACTAATGAAGGAATGGAAATTTTTGCCCTGCTAATGACAGGTTACTAGTGTTGTCCAATATTATCTGTGTTTTCCTTCTTCATGACAGTGTCTTTCTTGACTAGATAATAGCTGCTTTTCTTGTCCAAAGATATTAGACCACAAGGGGCACACATGTGCTGAAAGGCACTCTAATTACGTGAAGAGTTTAGGATCTGAAAGACCAACACTGAATAGATCTTATAATTTAAGGGAGATTATTCAGATAGTCACTCTAATTATTTTCACATATTACATTTTGATTTTGTACAGCTTGGCTGATATAACCCCTCCTGATTAAAGTTCTTTGCTTGTGAAATTTACCAAAGCAGATCTTCTAAGGTGATTACAATCCAGTGTTCCAGCAAAGTTACAATTACTGAGCCTTAACCATCCAAGTCTGAGAATCTGTGTGTTGTTTATGTACCTGATGCTCCTGTGGGGGGAAAAGCTAGAGAGATAAAATTCTTTTCTAGAAAAAACTGTGCAGATTATTGTTTTGCTGCAAACCTACAACTGGGGGACATTTAATAGAAATATTTGTTCATAAAAGCCCTATGCTGGTCTTTGGATATAAATAAGCCTCACCTAACCCTCTAGTTTGTCATGTACTGGGTTAGGCACTGTGGGGGATACAGTGATGACTAAGACCCCCCCCCCCGAATGCATGGTCAGATCTAAGACCTGTATAAAAATAATGAGAAAGCTAATAATTCTAGGCTGGGTGTGAATCCTGGAGAAGAGGTACACACCTCAGAACATACACTGGATTGTTTTCCTAGTGGAAGATGCAGACTGCAGCTCTCCCACACTTACACCTCATGACCTGGGGAAGACAGGATGCTTGGCTAGAACTGCTTGTGAAATTTACCAATGGCTTATGAATTGCAGTGGCTTCATGGCATGCTAAGGACCAGGGATCAGTGAACTTTTTCTGTAAAGGGCCAGATAGATTTTTTTTGACTTTGTGTGCATTGATTATCACAACCACTTTTCTTTGCCTTTGTAGTGCAAAAGCAGCCACAGGCAGTATGTTAATGAGTTGGCCTGACTGTGCTGCAATAAATATTTATAAAAAACCCAGCAGGCCAGATAACCATGGGCCATAGTTTGCAGACCCCCAGGAGAAAGCAGTGTTTTCTGAACTTGAGGGATCCACAGCCAACATTCAAGATCTGTGTCATAATGTTTGTTCCACCATAGGGCACTGGTAGCATTTTTTTTTTGGTGATACTGGGGATCAAACTCAGGACCTTGCACTTGCTAGGCAGGCATGGTGCCACTGAGCTACATCCCTGGCCCCCAAACTGGTATCAATTTTTGTCACACTTATACTATTAACTACTACCTTCTTTATAAAGTTTTGTAAAAGTGTATTTATTTAACTAATTTAGTTTACTTCACTGGTGATGGAAACCAGGGCTTCATGCATACTAGCCAAGTACTCTACCTCTGAGCCCCATCCCGCAGTCCCTAGTGCATTTATTTTTAAAGGAAATTCTGAATTACTCCTTTAACTCAGTATCATTTGCCACAAAATGAAGCTAATTCTAAAAAAAAAAAATTATTAAAAACCAAAGTAAAGCTATGGAAATCTACTAGATTTTGTTGCTTGTTGAAGGGTTGGAACCTGAGGTCTGCTCTTGTTATAAAGCAGGCATAAGTGGGGCTGGGAATGCAGCTCAGCAGTAGAGTGCCCTTTCAGCACCAGTGATGCCCAGGGTTCAATCTCCAGCATGGGAAGAAAATAAATAAATAAGGCATTAGGAGCCTTTCAAATAATCTCCTATTGGAAACTTTGTATGATTGGATGAACTGGAGTATTTCTGTGTGCATCCATTCATTTCAGCCCATGGATTTTTGCAGATCATTCATGTGTTTGTAAAGCCTTTAACTAGTTGCAGATTCTGCTACTGTGGGGTGAGCTTGTTGATTAGACAGGATGATCAGTATTTTAAGTCTACCAGTGTTTGCATAGCTTGCCACTGTTTTCAGCTTACTGTTCTATTTTAATTGTTAAACTTTCTAGTTTTAGGTGTTTGTAGATTCACACATAGTTTTAAGCAATAATACAGAGAGATCTCATGTACCTTTTACCTACTTCCTCCCCAAGGTCATGTCTTACAAAACTGTAGCACAATAGTGATACAATCCACAGATACTCAGATTTTCTTAGTTTACAATGTACTTTTCATTCTATGTCATTTTATCCATGTATAGGCTCCATAATCAAGAAAGAAGAATTCTACCACCACAAGGCTTTCTTGTATTTTCCTTTGATAACCTCCTTGATTCCCTCCTGTTCACCCTTCCTCACTCTAGTCCTCAGCCCTTGGCAAACATTAATGTTATCCAACTTCAAAAACTTTGTTTCAAGGGCCGGGGATTTAGCTCAGTGGTTCTACTGCCTGCCTCACAAGTGCAAGGACCTGGGTTCAATCCCCGGTACCAAAAACAAAACAAAACAAAAACTGTGTTTCAAAATGTTATGTAACTGGAATTGTGTAATATATAACGTTTTGGGATGCTTTTTCTGTTCAGAAGATTCATCCACATTTGCGGCACTAGTTACTTTTTATTGCTGAGTAGTATTCCATCATAGGGCTGTACCAGTTTGTTTAACCATTTATTCATTGAAGAACATATGGCTTGTTTCCAGTTTGGGGATATTATTAAAAAAGCTATTGCTAACATTTGTATGGAGGTTTTGGTTTTATTTAGGTGTTTATTTCTCTGGGATAAATGTCTAGCAGCACAAGTGCTGGTTCTATGGTAATTATATGTATAATCTTGTAAGAAATTGCCAAAGTCTTTTCTTCAGTGGTTATTCCCACAGTCAGTTTAACAGTGATCCAGTTTCTCTTCATCCTTGCCAGCTTGGGGTTATCAATACTTTTTTAATTTAAGCCATTCTGTTAGATGTGTAGTGATATTTCATTATGGTTTTAATTTGCATTTCTTTAATTGCAAATGATGTTGAACATCTTTTCATATGCTTATTAGCCATCTCTATATCTTCTTAGGTAAAATGTCTGTTCATGTCTTTTGACCATATCCTAATTAAATTTTTTCCTTGCTGTTCTAAATATTTTTAATAATTGCTTTGTTGAGGTATCTATAATTCTCATACCATGAAATTGTCAGTTGTATGTGAATGGTATCTCCATAAAGTGGTTTGTAGTGAAATCACACAGTGGTACAATAATAACTATGTAATTCCAGAACATCTCCATCATTCCCCAAAGAAACTTCCACCAGTCACTCTCCTTTATCTCCTGGAAACTACTTTATCTTCTGGAAACTACTCATCTGGTTTCTCTCTCTGTAGTTTGTCTATTCTGGATCTCTTACAAGTGCAAGCATATAATATAGGATCTTTTGTTTCTGGCTTCTTTTACTTAACTGTTTTCGGAGTTGTATCATGTATCAGCATTTCATTTCTTATTTATGGTCAAATATTCCATTGTACAAATATATCACATTTTAAAAATCCATTCACCAATTGATGGATATTTGGGGTTGTTTCCACTTTGGGTCTATTATGCAGAGTGCTGCTGCTAATAACATTCATGTGTAGATTTTTTTTGGTACTGGGGATTGAACTCGGGACCTTGCACTTGCAAGGCAGGTGCCAGAACCACTGAGCTAAATCCCTGGACCATGTGCAGATTTTTGTGTGGACAGTTGTTTTAATTTCTCCTGCGTATATACCTAAAAGTGGAATTACTGGGTCCTGTGGAAACTCTGTGTTTAGCCTTTTAATGAACTGCTGAACTGTTTTCCAAAGTAGCCATACCATTTTACATATCCATAAGCCATGTGTGGAAGTTCTGGTTTCTCCACCTTCTCACCAGCACTTGTTATTGTCTTTCTTTTTTATTACGACCATCCTAGTGGGTGTGAAGTGAAGTCTCACTGTGGTTTTGGGGGTTTACTAATGTTTTGTTGGAAGTCCAACTGTCAATTCTTCATTTATGGATTATGTTTTTGACATTAAGTCTTTAAGAGTGCTTTGCTTCAGCTGTGCCTTTGGCACTGACCTTTGCTCAAACAGGCCTCTTCAGTGATCCCTGAGGACCCAACTCTATTGAGTGATTCACCATTAGCCTTTCTTTCAATTGAGGTCAGCTATGGTGAATGGATTGGGAGACAGGGAAAAAGGAAGAAAAGGATCATATATCTGGACAACTCCATTTCTTTCCTTGGCACCAACAAGGTGTGTTCTAACTCCTGCACCATTCCTATTTCTTTTTCAGACACTAGAGGAGGAACTATTTTGGAACAATGAAGAGAGCCCAGCTTTCAAGGAGTTCTTGGACCTGCTGGGGGACACAATCACACTGCAGGACTTTAAAGGGTGAGTTTTAGCCAAGGGATGGCTGCAGCTCCATGGATGAGACCCTAAGAGCAAGGGCCAGGGCAGACAGCTCAGTCCTCACAAAGAGAGCTTGTGAGAGTTAAAAACACATACATGGAACACGGGACTGTTTTTCAGTGTCTGCTCAGTACTCCCTTACTGGGATTCCTAAAGAATCAGTGGTCCAGGGGATAATCCCGTGTGGCAGATTGTCTGAAAGACATTGACATTTGACCTCCAGACGTGATGAGATTTCTCCACCTGAGATTTGCGTTCCTAATTACATTTGGCTCAGATTGAAAGTGAAATGAATCCATCTTCTCTACCACTCACCAGCCGGGCAAAAGAGAACCATGTGTAGTTTGGAAGGAAGTGACCTAATTTAGGTAATATACAAGGAATGGGTAATTAAGAGTTCATGCAAATCTAAAACCCCACAGGCAGGAATTCATACAACAGTCTGTTTTCCTTTAGGTGGGGAGAAAGATAGAATTTGGGACTGGAGGAAAAAAGAGTGGAGAAAATGAGAGAATATTGGGGTGATTGCTTAGAAGACTGTGGCTCTTGATTTTATTTCAGATTGGCCAGCCCTAGGTGGCTGGCTCATGGCTGCCATCTCTAGAATTCTCACCTCTCTCCTTCCCAACTTTGGAAGCCAAAATAACAGGAGTTAACATTAAGTGTAAAAGTACCTAACTCAGCTGGGCATGGCGGTGTACACCTACAACCCCGACAGTCTAGAAGGCTAAGGCAAGAGGACTGAAAGTTTGAGTCCACCCTTGGTGACTTAGTGAGACCTTGTATCAAAAGGGGTGGGGGGCATGGGGAATAGCTCAGTGTGAAGTCCTTGGCTTCAATCCCCAGTACTGTGAAAAAAAGAAAAGTACCTGACCCAATTGCCTGGCATGCAGTAGGTGTATAGTAATTGCTTTCCTCCTCTGCTTCCTTCTCTCTCCTGCTTCCTTGTCCTTTATCTTCTCCTGTCTTCCTCCATCTTCTTGTCTCTTCCAACTTACCACTGTTGTCTAGTCAATCAGACCTGAGTTAAAATCACTGCTCTGCTGCTTATCACTCAAGAATTTTGGACAAGTGACTTTACCTTAGCCAGGCTCAGCTTTCTCATCTGTAAAAAAGGAGATAAAAGATAATAATAAAAGATAATGTCACACATGGCCACAACCAAGGTCCTGTGCCGACTCAGGGCCAGAAGCAGGAGTAGAACCTGGAGTGCTTGCTGCCCATCCCACATCCTTTGTGCCATGCTGGGCTGAGCGTACTTTGGGCATGTATTAAGTGCTGAAGTTCTGACATCCCAGGTTCATCTTATTTCAGTTATTTTTCTTTTTTTTGCAGTACTGGGGATTGAACCCAGGGCTTCCCGTATGCTAGGCAAGTGCTCTAGTGCCGAGCTACATCACCAGCCCTTTTAAATTTTATTTTGAAATAGGATCTCACTAAGTTGCGTAGATTGGCTTCAAACTTGCCATTCTTCTGCTTTAGCCTCTTGACTGTCTGGGATTATGGGTGTGTGATGCCATCCTGGTTTATTTCATTTTCTGGAAGGAATCTGCATCTGCCTCCTCTTGCCCTTGCTGAGGAATGTGGTGTGGAGCTGGTGGCTCTGTTTCTGTAAAGGCAGAAAGGACAGACCCTGGAGGCCTGGCCAGTTCTTCCATGCTTTTATTTCCTGCCTTCGAGGAGGCACCTCCCTCCATATCCCCTCCTCAGTGCTGCTACCGTTGGGCCTCCACATCAGGGACTAGCTGGGTGGAAGCAAAGCCTCTGTCACCTTCCCTGCCTGCCTCCAGATATCCCTCTGGGGCTCCCGAGTGTCCGGCAGAGTGACTGGTTGCTCTGGCTCTGGACTCGACTTGGATATGGCCTTACAGAGAGCAAATGCCTGTGTCCAGCCTTGTCACTGTCAACTGGAAAGGCACTTGTCTGTAATTGTGGATGGAAAGCCACATGACTGGTAGTATGGAGGGGACACAGCCGAGGCTTGAGATCGAGGTTCTTCCTTTGACTTTTAAATACCAGCTTCATCGTTAGGGCACCAGGGCCGGTCTACTCAGAGCCATTTTCCTGCTTTCCCTATCTTGTGCTCTTGTCTGCTCTCAGCTCTGCCCCTTTCTCTCATCCACCTGCCTGCCATACATCCTTAGAGAAGGCAGTACCACGTTGCCCACTTCACCTCACTCTTTCTCTCCCCAGTTTCCGAGGAGGCCTGGATGTGACCCACGGACAGACAGGGGTGGAGTCAGTGTACACGACATTTCGAGACCGGGAGATCATGTTTCACGTCTCCACAAAGCTGCCCTTCACTGAGGGCGATATCCAGCAGGTAACTTGGTTGGGGGTGTTTTGGGAGCCTGGGGCATGGCAGGTGCAGTGGCCTAGTGCAGGATGGAGTGGGGACTGAGCAGGAAACTGGGTTATTCCCACTTTGACCCAGGGGAAACTGCAGCCCAGGGTGAGCAGTTAAAACACCCTTGAGGGCATGGGCAAGGGTCTGCGGTGTAGCATTGGCCTAGCCTGCTTGAGGCTCTGAGTTCTACCCTCAGTACCAAAAGAATAAAACCCTTCTTAAGGTTTCCCAGTTGACTAGGGGCTGAGCTGGGACTGATCTTGGGGTCATGAGCACATAGGGTGATGGTCAGGGTACATGACAGGGTCTGTGGATGGAGGCTTGAAGCCACTGAGCATTTAGGGCTGTGTGACTCTGAGCAAATTGGTTATCCTGTGGCCTCATTTTTCCTGTCTGTAGAGTGGGGATATTAGTACTTGTGTCAGCACCTGTCAGAAGTTTCTGAATATAGGGCTTCTACAGTGATGAGTGACACGTGGCTGGTTTCTGTATAACAGCTGTTCCCTGTCCAGCCCACTAGTCATTTTGCCTCTCTGCTGGTAAAGTGCTGTGCAGCTCTTACGGCACGGGGATCTCCCCACCCCCACGTGGCCGGTTTGTCACAGCCTCATCTCTCCCAGAGCCTGCCTGTCAGCAGGAATCCAGCCTGCCCCTGACTCGAGGACCCCGGGTGAGACCTGTGTCTCCAGCATTGTCTGCTTTCTCCCATGTTTGCTGTTCTCTAGCCTCACATCATGCTTACCCCTGGGCAGGGCCAGGCTCTTCTGAAACCTGAAGTTGATCCTGGTAGCTTCAACACTGCCTGCCCCACCTTGCTTTTTGTCCCTTTCCTGTCTCTGGGAAAACAAGAGGGGCAGATGGGCCTTTGCCCAAACTGGGACCTATTTGTTTCTGGAGACTGGAGAGGGAGCAGAGGCATAAAACTAAACATAATGGCTGGCTTCTTAGGAAAAAAGGAAATTGGCAAACAAGATTATGATTTGGCTCTCGAATAACTACTGAATGTCCTAGAAACAAATGGGAGCAGGATTGCTTTTGTAGCCCAAAGTGGGTTTTCTCTCAGTGGCTCATCTTTATTTTTTGTCACCTCACAGTCCCCCTTATCTGCTCCCCCAGCATGTGGCTTGTTCTCTCTGGGCCACTTCAGCCTGACCTATGTTAATTGGGAAGTACAGAGCTTGACTTTGGGCAGGGACTGAATAAACATTTGCTTTCTCTTCCTAAGAAATAGGAGGATGTGTGTGCAGTAAGTGAGACAGTCCTCATAAAAGGTGCCCAGCACAGTGCTTACTGTACAGCAAGTGCTCAGTATATGAGAAACTCAACAGGAAAGAGCCAAGCCTAGGGCCTACTTGCAGTAGGTGCTTAATAAAGGAACAAATGCATGGGCAGGAAGCCACTAGGACCTGGTGTAAAGAAGGGCTTTAAATTTGAAATCATGCCTGTGATCAGAATCACCTGGTTCCCTGTACATATGAGGTGCTTGGTGTCTGAGGTTATGGGCAAAAGCTCCTGGCACTGCTTGGGATAGTGCGTCTCCAACCTGTCTCCTCCCAGTCAGGTGACATGATCGTTTCTAAGCATGGCTCTTCTGTCCTCTAATGGAATGATCCACTCCCTGACCTCATCCCTGCTCATCTCTATTTCCCTCAGACGTCCGTATCCTCTTCCAGGAAGACTTTGGAGTTGCTCTGATTTTGCCCTCCTCTCTATCCCTAGAGCCGCCAGGCAGTTCATGTGTAGCAGCTGACTTAGCGCTGGCTGGCTGGTAGCTTTGTTAGTGTTCTCAGGTGACTCTTCCTGTGTTTGTGTTCCTCCCAGATCAATTACAGGAACTCCCAGGGCAAGACCCAGTTCATCTTTTAAATATTCTCTCCAGGTTTTGAGTCAGGGCTCCACACACTGTTGAACTCAGTAACATGCTCACTAGCTGCTGCCTAACAACTTGGGCATCATCCCCCTTTTTTCTTTCTTGGTGGTGTCCAAGGATTGAAAGAAGCAGCTCCCTGGAGAGCTAGGTCGCAGAGTTCCAGGGTTTATATTTAAAGGTAAAATAATGGTGAATTTCCTGTGTAGATCTTTTCTATTTTCGGGATATTCCTAACTGGATTGTAATAATAGAACATTTTTTGGTAGCTCCAGCGAAAGAGACACATTGGGAATGACATTGTGGCCATCATCTTCCAAGAAGAAAACACTCCATTTGTCCCAGATATGATTGCCTCCAATTTCTTACATGCCTACATAGTTGTGCAAGTTGAGAGCCCAGGCACAGAGATTCCATCCTACAAGGTAAGGAGAAGGCCCTGTTGGAGGAAGTTGTGGGCCTAGATACCTTCCTGCACCTTGTGTGGTAGCAAAGGGCACTAGTTGTCAACAGTATTGGAGTTCCCATGAATTGTCAGGTTCCTGGGATTTGGAGCTAGACTCTTGGTGAAAACACCTTCCAAGGTTGTCTCATCCATCCTGCAGTGCCTCCGGGCTTGGTAGTATCTACATCAAGGGTCCAGAAGTACTGGGAGTCATATTTGGAATCTGAGGATGGCATGTGCTAGAGTAAGGCAGATTGGTAGGACAGAAAGAAGAGAGAGTGGAGAGGAAAGTCAGGAAAGGGGAGAGGAGGAAGGGTAGTAGGAAACAAAGGGAAGTGCTTATGGTGCAAAGAGGGGTGGGGGCCTGGCAGATCCTGGCCCCAGGCAAGTCTTCTGGTCTGGCTGTTCTGGAAAAATGATCAGTGGGGCATCAGTGAGGCAAGGATGCAAGGCCTGTGTTACTGTCCTGACCAGTGAGTTTCAGTTTTTCTTCCTAAGACATGTAGGAAAAAATTGACTGGAATGGAAAATAGCGATTAATAAAGGCTGAGAAGAGTGTTGGAAAGGGAGGGTGGATAAAATGAAATCAGATTTACTCAGTGCATGGTGACTACCTGTGTGGAAACATCACACAGAAAGAACCCCAGTAATATGTATAATAACACAGGTGTTTCTCTTAAAAAGAAATATAAATGGGGGGATATATGTAGAATAAGTTAGATAATTTGCACAAAGTGCTCAGCAGATGGACTCACAGTCCTCACTAGTTCTGATGAGCTAGAGCCAGAGCAGCCTCCTGTCCTGCAAGTGCCCACCAGCTCATTCCTTCTCTCTCTCTCTCTCTCTCTCTGTCTCTCTCTTTTTTGGTACCACGGATCAAACTTGAGACCTTGTGCTTTCGAGGCAGGTGGTGGAACCACTGAGCTAAATCCCCAGCCTATCCAGCCCATTCCTAATGCTTGCTTCCTAACCTTCCCTTTCTCTTCTCCACGAGGGGCAACCCTGGGCTTTGGGGCATGAGGGGCTTTGGGGCAGCAGATTTTCTGTGTCACTGTGGTTTGAGGGACAGGGAACCAAGGGAAATATGCTGAGGCAGGGTTTGTAGGTGAATATTAAGTAGTCTCTAGCCCCTTAAAGTAGGTACCAAATGGCAAATTTCTGTGCTTCTTTGTGTTTCCTGGGTAGACAGGCCAGAGATCAAATTCTCAAAAGGCTTCCTGGTCCACAAACTATTGGGAACTACCATTCTATGAGTCTATGAGAGAAGAGAAATGAACCTGTCATTGATAATGGGAGACAAGGAAGCCTGGAAATATTTCTTGGATAATCACTTAGGCCCAGGCTAATTCCTGGGGTTCTCTGAGCAGTAGTACTTAATGGCCATTTTCAAATATCCATTTTGGTATTGTTTGGTTATCTTACTCTTACATGAGTACAAACCTAGACGTTTTCAGTACAAAATTCACATCAACTTTTAAATGCAAGACTTAACAAAAACAAAAAAATCCCAATAAATCCCTTCTGTTGAGGTGAGCTGATTTCTTTGCATACACATCTTTGTGTCCCTCTGGCATCAAACAGTCTTAGGGGGTCACCTGATTGGGCTAAAGTGGGCATTCACTTCATGGCTGTTTGGTTAATTTGTTGGTGGAAGTGGCAAGTTTCCTCATCCAGTACCTCCCAGGTTCCATACACCATGCTGGGAAACAACAAAATGACACACACAATTTACCTATAGGGCCTCGCTGACCCCAGACAAGGGACAAAGGAGCCAGCCACTGGAAAGCACAAATAGTCACCTTAACAGTATATATAGGAGCTACCAAGAAGGAGCCCTGAAGTAAAGTGGGCTGATAGGAGGACTCTTGGACCATGCCATGCAGTCGTCTGCTTGGCTCATCTGCTGATAGAATGAGGGCTCGTATGCACATTTAGTATTTGCTTTTTATTCCTTAGAGGAAATAGATCTCAGCTAACTGGGTTCTGTACTTTCCCAGGAGTTTAGCAGAGGGCTGCACCCATTTAGAGAAATAGCAGTGGTCCAGAAAGCCCTACTCATTTCCAGCTTTGGTGCTGAAAATGTAGTCTTCCAAACCACAGCCTGGAGTCCAGGGCAAAGTACGGTCCTGAGAGAGGTATTGGGGAGCACTAAAGCAGGGCTGGCTCCTCAGGACTGGGATCTTGGCCTTGCACACCACCTGTCAGGCGGGCACCCAGGTGGGATTGGAGCCTGAGAGACAGAGGGCAGAGCGGGAGACCAGCCTTCAAAGGCACCCCCCAGAGTGCCCCACCTCAGCAGTACTAGTGATTTGAAGACTGTGAGAAGGATCTGGTTAAATCCTTCAGGGATCCTGGTGAAAGAGAACCTTAGCTGACCCCTTCAGGCTTAGGGGGTAGGATTTCCCCAGGGCCTGAGCAATGCCCAGGAAGCTTCTACTAAGGTCAGTGAACAACAGGAAAGAAAAGGAGGGAAGGATGAGGGTGGAATGTGTAGTGAAGGGCCCTAAACAGCCTGGTCCTAGCCCTACCTCTGTCCTTCTGTGACTCTGGGCCAATTCCTTCCCTCCCTGGGCCTCAGTTTCTATCCTTTCAAAATGAGGAAGTTGGCCTAGATTACCCGTGAGCTCCTTCCAGCCTGACATCCTGCTGGGGGGAAGGAGGAGTTGAGACAGAGAGTGTGTGTGTATGTGTGGATTGTGAAGTGGTTTGAGGGCAGTGCTGGATTTTTAGGTGCCCTTTACTAGATGCAGATTAGCAGGGAAAGTAAAAAGGCACTGGGTGATGGGGACTCCCCCTTGCTTGAGCCAGGTACTGTGTTAGAAGCACAGTCTTTTTGAATCCTCTCAGGCCTGGTGAGCCCTGCTGTTATAGGGAGAACACTGAGGGTGAGAGCTTAGGTCGTGTAAGGCCTGAGGCCACAGAGCCAGGGGTCTGTGGAGTTAGAATTCCTGCCCAGATCTGCCCTTGGCACTATCGGAGCAGGTGGGAAACTGGTTGCACAAACCCAGGCGTGCAGGAAATGTCACATTGGATTATTTTTCAGGTAGGAATTTAGTCCCCATCTGGCCAGATTAGAAGAAAATTTCAGTTTGTCCATCATTAGGACTCCTCCTTCCCCATCTTGGGTTATCACCCTGCCCTGTTCCTGAGGTCCTTCCAAGGGTTCAGGAATCTTCTATGAAGCAGACCCCTGGGGGAGGGCTTGCTCTCTTCCCACCATGACTTAGCTGTTGCTTGGACAACCCTCCATGGTCTTCTAACATAACGTGGCAGGCCACACCAGGCTTGGGGACTTGGTCAGGTTTCTAGCATTCAGGTCCCCCATCTCCTAGGTACTTCCTCAGGGCCCCATGCCCACATTCCTTCTGCTTTCCAGTCATGAAGATGATCTCCCTGAGAGCACCTGCTGCCAACACTCCTCAGAGCCCTTACTAGATTTAGAAACAGGAAGATAGGGGGCTGTGTTCAGGCAACTTCTGCTTTCAGGAGCAACCCGAACATCCCCAAAAGGAAGGAACAAAGGCCTGGCTGCCTCATTGGAGTGCGGTCAGAAAGGGAAACAGGACAAGGATAAAAGATGAATGGATATCACCAGGAGGGTGTTGGCCCCAGGCCCCTGCATTTCTGATGGGCTGCTGCAGTGGGATTTTCTGGCCAGAAGACTTGTGTGGATTTAAGTGTACATCTGAAGCCACTTACCCTGTTGGCACAGATCACTGTAATGCAGGCTTCAGAAGGAAGAGGGTGGGTGGGGGAAACAGCTGGGCGCATTTCTGTCCTTTGTCTCAGGTGTCCCAGATGCCTGTGGTCACTGCTGCTTAGCAGCCCACCCCACCCCCAGTTTTGGCTCCATGGATAGAATTCTTGCCATGGGCCCTCAGTGCACAGTGGGTGGTGGCAGGGAACTGCATTCAGCAGCTGGAGCCCAGCCAGAAATCATGTCAGCCAACACACACCATTTCCTGAGTCGGCACTGCAATCTTGCTGTGTAGACAGCCTCGAGCTAGGGGAGAGAAAGGCTGTATTGACTGACTCTCTCCGGCTTCCTCCCCTCTGGACCCTGGCAGGCCCTTTCCTTGGCTCTGCTCTGGGCTGCCTGCTTACCCGGTCTGGCGGGCTCTCTTCCTTGACCCACTTTACAGGGCAGGGAAGATGGCAGCAGGCCAGGGCCCAGTCACGTCAGCAGCTGCTGGAAGAAGGGAGCGGGCAGCCTCATAGAAGCCTGCAGCCTCATAGACTAGGAACAGGTGAAACCCGGGCGCCTCCATGCAGAGAGGAGGTGAGGTGTGCAAAGAGGAGGGCCTGCTCCTGGCCCCGGTGACCCCCGTGCAGAGCACCTGAATGCTCTCACTCCATAGTTCAGTCATGCTGCCCCCAGCCTGGATGCCTTCCACCCTAAAACCCTAGTCCAGACCCTGGAGCTCTGTTTGTTCAAGCCTGAGCCAGATTGACCAACCCTGTATGTGGGATGAGGCCTCTGGACACTGGTCCCCTGGCTGTGCAAAAGCTCCAAGGAACCCAAAGTTTCCTATGCAATAAGTATTTACTTTTTAAACACCAGAAGTGTCTGTGTGTGGCCAGGTTCAGGAGTCAGTGTGGTAGGGAAAGAACCCCAGAGCTGGGACAGGAGAGGTCAGGATTCTCTGTTCCTTTCTGTGGCTAATCACCTTCATGACTTTGAGGGGCTCACTCCATGTCTCTGGGCATCTGTTTCCTCATCCATAAGATAAGGGTAATCATAATCTTGTGCCTTCTCTGTGAGATTAACATCACGATCACACGAGGTAATAAGATAACATCCCCTTGGGCACATGCTCTGTGTTATCAGGGTCCTGGCTGCTGGTCAGCATCTTGCCTAACTTACTTCTGGCCTTTAGGAGGGCAGAGGAGAGGATACACATGGCTCCACACCGTCCAGCCCCACTTCTAGGGGCAGTGGCTCAGGGCCTGTGCTGGTGATGCTCACAGAAGTGTTTTACTTGTATTCTGGGAAGGGGGTGGGGGAGCAGGTGGATAAATTTGCTACAAGAATGGCTCTTTCCTTCTGACCTATATGTGACTGTTTTGTTCAGGTCTCTGTCACTGCTCGAGAAGATGTGCCTGCCTTCGGTCCCCCTCTGCCCAACCCCCCTGTTTTCCAGAAGGTAAGAAACTCTTCTACTCCTCTCCCAAGACCATAAGTTTCCATACTTGAGTGCAGTGTTGGGCTGGGGCAAAATCTGGGCTGGGAACATCAGGGAAGCCTTTTTGCAGATTCTAGGGGAATGTCTTTACTTCTGTGTCTCCCTACCTTTCCTCATGCTGCCAGTCTGGCCCAACAGAATGCCACAGTGGAGGGGTGTTTGATGCTGGGTTACCTTCCTGCTAAAGGAAAGGTTTTAATGCTATGCCCCTTTGTGAAGCCTTGGGCAAGCACTTCCTCCAGTTATGGAAGTGCCACTATGGAGGAGGGATTTCCCAGGACCAGGGAAGCTTGCTTCCATGTTGACATATTAGCAGACGGGCCTGGTCTGGGCTAGAAATAAGCACATGGCAAGGTCTGCGCCCAGACCTTCTTTCTGTTATCTTGTTGCTGTGGCTGAGGTCTTCATGGCTACAATGGAGGGTGGGGGAGTTCTGGGCCATTTTATCTGTTGCAGGGCCCGGAGTTCAGGGAGTTTCTGCTCACCAAGCTCACCAATGCGGAGAATGCTTGCTGCAAGTCGGACAAGTTTGCCAAGCTGGAGGTGAGAGCATGAGTGTTCAAGGTCTTCTTCCAGGCTGCTCTAACCAGCCTCCCTTGGGGCAGGGTCTCACCTTAGGGCTTGTTGCGGGGAGGACTTTGCCCCTGTAAACCCTTGGCCCTGTGTTGATCATGGGAACTCTTTCATCTTGTGGAAACTCCTTCTAGACTCCAGGTCTAGCCAGCCATTCACCAGTCATTCATTGAGTACCTACTATGTGCCAGGTCTTGTTCTGTTCCCTAGGATATAGGGATAAGCAAGATAATAGAGTTCCTAGGCTAGTGGAGGGGACCTTATTGCAGATACAGTTTAATATGGCGTTCCAGCTCTGGGCCATGATGGAGCTAGCACTGCTCAGAGGATAGTATCTGCTTCTGCCTGGGAAGGGGAGACTGAACAGTCTATTTAGGGAAGGCTTCCTGGAGGGGATGGCTTATGAGCTGCTGAATTTCGATGTCCAGTGGTTTTTAGGAAGAAAGAGTGGGGGAAGGTTATTCCAGGCATGGCAATAGCATGAGTAAAGGCCAGTCAGAGTCAGAGTGTGACTCCACGAGGGAGCTCCCGAGGGCCTGGTGTGGCCTGACAGAAGGCTTCTCAGGGGGCTGGAGTGGTAGAAGCTCAGCTGTAGATGGCAGTTAGTGCAGATCAGGAAGGCCTGTAAGTTGAAGGTCATTGGTGCTGTAAAGTTCTTAGGCAAGACACTATTTGATTTGCATGCTAGAGGGCTTACTCAGCAGTGGAGAGGACAGGTTGAAGGGGAAGAAAAGCAGGAAGGGTAGCCAGTTAGAAGCACTTAACAGGTGCCCAAGAGAGATGATGAAGGCTTACATGAGGAAATGATTTAGATATGATGGACCCCTGGGGGTAAGTGTGGGGACAAATGGGATTCCAGGACAGCTCTGGTGACCTGGAGATGGCTGGGAGACAGTTTTGTTAGGACCTGCTTCTCTGAGGTGCCTGCCAAGGCCCAGCTGCTGCAATGGCTCTTGTTGGTATGTGTGAATGGCGACCCCTGGAGGCTGCATGTATTGCTTTGGGCAGAAATCTGGTTGGAAAAGATGTGGATGTGGAGCTTGGGCAAAGAATGGGGGCGTATCTTCCTAGGGCAAAGCCATGTGAGTGGTGGAATGGCCGAGGGAGAAGGGGCAAAAGGACTAGAGCAGAGGGCTGAGCATAGAGCATTTGCATTAACAGCAGCATTTGTGAACATGAAGCCCAGTCTCGCTCTGGCTTCACACTGTGCCAGGGATGCGGTATCAGAAGAGCAGCCCTCAGGCCTCAAGGAGGAGGCATAGCTCTGCTGTCAGGACCAGCTTTTCCACTTGTATCCTTTTTCTTTCCAGGACCGGACCAGGGCCGCCCTCCTGGACAACCTTCATGATGAGCTGCACATGCACACACAGGCCATGCTAGGACTGGGCCCCGAGGAGGACAAGTTTGAGAATGGGGGTCACGGGGGCTTTCTGGAGTCTTTTAAGGTATGGATATAGTGGTAATGGGGGGTTGCTGTGTCAGGGAGGGGTGGGACAAAGAAGGGAAGTGATCTGAGGTCCCTGAGATCCCAAGCCTAGAACCCAGGGCCAGTCCTAGGTGACAGGACTAGTAGGAACATCCCAGGTATTTGGAGAGGGCAGGGTGGTCTGGCACCATGAGAGGTTAGAGCAGCCAACAGTATCTCTAGCACCCTCTACCTCCCTCCTTCTAGCCTGAGACTCTGAGAAGTAGGGATAGGCACTGGTGAGAGAGGAACCAGTATGTCACTGCTGTCACCTGCCTCCTTCTCTGCTGGGGTGGACTCCAGGTAAGGGTGGCAGGAGCAGGGACACAAGCCCTGGGGGCTTCTTGGAAGCTCATATGGGATGCTGCAGTGATTTGTCCCACCTGGAAAGGACCTGGAGACCTGGCTGGGTAGGTGGGATAGAGTCCCAGCAAGTCCTTTTGGGCTTTGCAAAGGGACTGAAGAAAGCAGTGAGCTCCTTGTCTCTGGAAGTATTCAAGTGGAGCCTGGACAGTGACAGAACTGGTGTGGGAGACATTGTTTGTCGTGTGCTGGCTTAGTACTTGTTGGTCCACACTGCACATATATCCAGCATCTGATCTGAACCTGGCAGTTGGCTGGATGGTTATTTCTTGTTATTTCCACTAAAACATGCAGGAACAGGCTGAGAGAGGCCACAGGACTTCTCAAGACCTTACGCCTTGGAGGTAGAGCCTTGTTTCAAATACAGGTTGGCTGATTCTTAGCTCAAAGTTCTCTGGATTGCTCATCTGAGAGTGGTTAATCAGGCTACCATGTGGGGCCCATAGTGATTAGGGTTAGGTTTAGATCTTCCTGATTTCAAATCCCAGTTCTGCAGGGTGCTGGACAAGGTCTTTAAAGCCTCTAAGTTACAGTTTTCTTGCTAATGACACCAGGATGATAAATTTGGCCTCTGTCACAGAGTTGTGAGAATTCATTGAAATAATGCCAGGAGAGTACATATTGCCTGCAATGCAGTGAATGCCCCACAGTATTAGCTGTTATTGAATAAAGTGAGAGCTTACACATTATCCTGTTTTAAATAAATCTCCCAACTATCCTCAGTGCCCTGTGGGGAAGGCTGTTACTATGGGTATAATACTCTTGGTATAATAATTCAGTCTTGCTTTTAATGATTACGGGCATAGTTTTAGATGTGAAGAAGCTAAGACTCAGACTAAATAGTTTGTCCCCAGTCACCCTGGAGACAGAGTTGAATTCAGGTCTCCCAGATTCCAGAGCTTGTGCTGTTAACAGCTATTTGATAACCCCTCCCAGTTTCCGACTCGAAGATCCCACCCGTGTTGGCCTGGGCCTAGGCAGGCCTGGGGTCAGTCCCTCATTGCCCAGATGGATGGGTATAGCTTGTTGGCCTCCCTGGAGCCAGCTGCTAAGATTCCTTGTGGGGGTGGGAGGGGGAGCTGCTTGTCCAGACTGGTGGGAGATTCCTGGGGCATCTGTTCTAGTCCTGATAGACAGTGGCAACCAGGGTGAAACAGGAGAAATCTTGGGGGATCAAAATGCAAGAGGGATGAAGGAGAAAAGGAATATGGGAGGATAGCCCAGCTGAGAGAGGGTTAAATAGAAGACCTGGTAATAGGAAAATGGGCATGGGTGTAGGGGAGGCAGACAAGCAGGACCACTTAGAGGCCTTCAAGGCTTTGGACTCTTCTGGAGGCTCCACCTCTCCTCACATGAAGCATATCAACATCCCATATCTTACAGCAAATGTAATTTGTATGAAAATACCAGAGCTGAGCTGCAGTTGACTAGCTCACATAAAGATGTTCTTTGTACACACTTAATGAAGCATTTATTGCTTTTGAGTTTTGCAGGTTTCTTTTTGTATTTCAAAATTAACAATGTTTTTTTTCAGGTTTCAAATATTTTCACAACTCGGAGAAGCTTCTAAGTTATGGATACTCTGTCCATAATGTCCAGGAGATGAGATATTCCAGCTAAATATAGGTGGCAGGTCTAAAGGACAGCAGCCGGAAACCATTTTGTCCAGTCCCCTGTGTCTGGTAGGAGTGGCAGTTGATCTATGTTTGACTCCAGAGTGTCTGACATAAACTCCAAAAGGGATTTCCTAGAGAGGAGTTGCTTCAAGACGTTTTCATGACTCATCTTTGAGCCAATAATCCAGGGAATTCTTCTGTTCAACCCTAAATCCTCACAACTGTAGGTTGAAGACAGACCTGTTTCTCCATTTGCTGCCACATCTGCCTCTAAGGTCGTGCTGTGGGGGCTGGAGGGGACTGTCAGTCAGTCACACAGAGCAAGCCATCTTAGCTCTAATGATTATAATCAGCTTTTTTCTCCTCCCAGCTGGGGAATGCACATTCTCTTGCCCCATCCTTTTCAATATTGCTTTCACGTTTCCTATGTGGAGAGGCCTGAGCTGGAGGCAGGCCAGGCTCTGGCCCAGCTCAAGAAGCCATCTCTAGTTTTGTCTTTTCTTCTCGGGTGTCGTGCATAGAGCTACGGCATCAGAGTTATTGGTATTCCTCATATGGTTCACCAAGACATGCACAGGATTCCTCTTAAAGTGGTGCCTGAAATGATTCTAGGAAGAAAACTTGTGCTTTTTATCTCCTTCCTGTCAAAGGCCTCATCTCACAGGCAACTGGGCAGATAACTGAGAATTCTCAGAGCTGAAAGCCGTTGCAGCCGTCCATTCCCTCTCCTCTCTTGAGACTGGCCTTCCCCATCCTAGGGGCCCGTAACGCTTTGTGCCCCAAGAAACAGGCCTTCTGGGTGCCTAAGTTTTGCTGCCTGGTGCCTCATGTCACACGGAGTACTTCCTCACGTTTCATTTCAGTTCCAGTGACTGTAATTGGAGATTTTCCTCCATAACACACAGACCTGTTGGTTTGCCTACATCTAGACCTGCTTTTCTCAAAGTGAGCTACTTGGAGGGATTTGCAGGAACCTGCCAGTTCTACCAATACCTTTAAAGTTTGCATTTTCCTTAGATGATAATCTTAAAAAATATATAGATTTCCAATGATAAAGTCTAAACTTCAGCAGTGATGACTCACAATTAAAGGGTATTTGTGTGGGACAAGTAGATAAAGTACAAAGTCAGCGTTGCAAATGGAGCCCATGGTGTGTGTGTGTGGGTCTGTGGATGACTTCTTGGGAGTTTTGTTTATAAAGGAGCTGTAAATCACTCATCTTTGAAAGGTGTTGATCTCTAGACTATTGTTCTGAAATGCCATTCTCAGCCCCTGCCAGCTGTTCACCAAGTTTTTACTGATCTGTAATGAAACATGACAGACAATACATGTTGTATCCATGTAATATGGGCATAAAGTGCATGTGTACTGTGTTTTTAGAAACACTGAAGTTGCTCAGCTCTGCACTGACCTCATTGTACAGGAGTGGGAATGGAGAACAAGGACAAGGACAAGGACAGGGAAGACAGAAGGGGACCACAGCAAGCAGGATCATTTTTCCCAGCCTTTGAGGGACTCTGATAGTTAATGTGTTGGTCTGACCTGACCCCTAGTGGCAGGAGAGGCCACAGACATCCCTGGCAGGCAGGGGAAGCCCAAGCAGTGCCTGTGATGGTGGATAGAGCCCAGCAGGTTGGGCAGAATCCCTAGCCTTTGGCATCTTTGCTCCCTCCTTTTCTTCCAGAGACAGGAAGTTATAGTTCTAGGATGGCCCTGCTGCCTCTGGGGACGGAGTGAGGGATAGTTCAGGCCTTGTGCTTTGTGCCGCTTAGCTCACCGTTTACACCCATGGTCTGTGTGAGTACAGCGATCACCTTCTGTCTCATATTTGCCCTGCTAGAGCACCGGATCTCAGAGTTCTCCCAGATTGAGAAGCTCAGTAGGCAGAAAATTCACATCTTTGACTCCAAGAGCCCCTACCTCTGGTACTTGCCTGATTCAGATAGGCATGTCCCCTTTGGTGTTCATCTCCTTGATTTTTCTCCCTTGAGTTTGTTAAATTGAGATGACTCAGAAACCCACTTGTATGGAGATGAGTAGTGTGGTTGACAAGGAATTACTCCCTTTGTGGTACTAACTGGTGCTCAAACTTGGGGCGGAGATGAAGTGACATGTGTAGGTAATGAGAAAGCAGTGCCATCTCCCTCGCCTCACCCCCTCAAAGGAGCGCTTATTCAAAGGCAAGCAGTGAGCTGTGCTGAGGGCTGGGAGACCATAGTGACTGAGGGAGGGTGATGGAGCCAGAGACGATAAGCTAGAAGGTCCGCAGAGTCTCAGGACAGCAAGGGACAGTCACATGAAATAATTGAATAGACTGGCTCAAGAGGTCTAGAAATTTGGTGAGATTACAGCTTGGTGCACAGAAGAAGGTGTGATTTGCCAGGGAGAGACAAGGGACTGAGAGGGACAGTCCGTGTGGCCACTGGAGCCCTCCTAAAGCCAATGCAAAGGCCTCACAGGCCTGTTTTCTCTCCTGCCTTTCTTTCCCATCACCATCACTCTTCTTTTTCTTCTTCCTTTCTGACTTTTCTCCCTGGCTTGAAAAGGCCAGTGCATCTATACAGTTGTCCATCAGATTGAAATGTGAAACTGGGCAGTTTTATCGAAATCAAGTATTTTTAGAGCTTAGTGCCGTCACCTCTATCATTAAGACTGGGGCAGGAGGGCTGGCCCTGAGTGGGAAGGTCTCATGCCAGGTGTTGGATGCACACTGTGTCAGGTCATCCTCATGACACCTTCTCCAGGGACCTTCACCACACTGTATCAACACATGTCTTGGAGAGCTTCACCTACTGAGCAATGAGAAGACTAGGATTCACCCCTTTCCTGTTTTCTTCAATCAGCAAACTACCTACCATCCTGCTCAGTCTCAGAATTTTCCATTGTCTCCTCCCATTTACCTCGCTGATTCTGACAGCAGAACCAAGGGCATTTGAGGAAATGTTGTCCTCCCTGACATCAGCCTCTGAGGTTTTTTTAGGGAAGTCCCTGAAGCCTCCTGGTTTCTAGTCAACATTAATTCACTAGAGGGTTGAATTATATTTTCAATCTGAACCACTTTTGGGGAATTCAGGAATCTTTTCACCTGGAGCCCAGGATCCTGGGTTTGGGTCCTAGATCACTCTCCATCTCTTACCTGCTTTGTGGCCTTGGGCCATCATTTATTTACCTTTTGAAACCTTTTCTTATTTGTCTTCTCTGTACCTCAGCATTGGAAGCTCATCAGACCAAATACCACCTCACAGGGTTTATTTCCTACATGGAATCCTCTCTGGGACAGAGACAGTAAGGAATTTATCAGAACATAAGTGATGAGTTTGGGTTGGGCTGTGGGTGAGTGCTCTAGGTTCTATTTTTAGCACTGCAAAAAAGGAAAAGATTAGTTTGAAATGTCACTTTTGATGATGATAGTGGTGGCAGCAACACATGAGGCACCAAAGAAGTGTAAAGATTCTGAAAACTTACCTCACTATTCATTCAAGGACACATCAGGGTGCTGGCACATTTCTTGGCCCTCAGTTTTCTAGAGGATGTGTGACTTCGTGGTGCTTCGGTGATGGCAGAAACTGAATGTGCTTGATGTTCCAGGCAGGTCATGGAACCCTGTTGCTAGGTGTTGCGTGAGAAAAGTAGATAAGGGTAAAAAGTCAGCATTGCAAAGGGAGCCCGTGGAGCCCACTCTGTTGTGTGGTGAAGAAAGGGAGAGAGATGATATCTTCCTAGGAGCATCTTTGACTCAGACAAGAGAGGCCAGATGATATCAGGGGTTCATGATTGGTGGGCTCCATGCCTCAGCTTCCATATCTCATCTCAGGGGCTGTCATATTTGCAGATGGCCTTCCCAAGTCTGCTTTCCTTGTCAGGATAGAAGGGCAGGCAGGGTATTTCCAAGCTGGGAGAGTTCCTGGCCTTGAGAGGTCCCAGGGAGACTTGGGACGGGAGTGGTGTTTATGTTGTCTTGCTGGGACCACCTTGCCAGAGACTGAGCCCTTCCTTGGATGCTGTAAGGAGATACCTGTCAGCTGGCACATGGGGTGTGTGTGGGGTCTAAGTCAAGAAAGGAAGGGAGCAGGCCATGGCTTGGTCCTTCATGCCAGGCTCTTGAGAATACCCTTTCCTGATAGACTCTATCACAGTGAGGAAAGCCCATTAGCTCACAGGACGAGAAGATACAGGCAAAGTGTGGCTCAGTTGGTCATGGGCATCCAGCTTTTCCTTCCTTCCCTCTGCCATCTGCAGCTGGTCAGTGTGCTCCTCTGGAGTGGTCCCAAGATGGCTGCTGGGAGTTCAGGTGCATTGCTTTTGGAAATCATGGAGGAAGCCTTTCCCCCAAACCCCTAGCAGACATTCCCTCAATACTCTATTGACCAGGGCCGGGGATTTAGCTCAGTGGTTTCGCTGCCTGCTGCGCAAGCTCAAGGACCCGAGTTCGATCCCTGGTACCAAAAAAAAAAAAATACTCTACTGACCAGAGGCTGTATTAAGTGACAGCCTTAGACTGATCATGACTTACTCCTATGTCCCATGGAGGAGGAGAATATTAGACTAGACTAGCTCTGCCAGCAAAGAGCGCCTGTGGCAGAGGATACTTGTATGTGAACCATTAATAACAGAGCACCCCCAGGGGCCCTGGGTCTCGGGGCATTGCTCCAGTCTTAGGACTATGCCTTCTGTGGTCCTTTGAGGCAGGGCCACATCTCACCCTTCTTTGGCCTCTGGACCGCAGTTCTGGTTCCTGGTATGGGGCTGGACACATGGGAACCATGTGACAAATGCTGGGTTTTTTTGGGTACTCGGGATTGAACTCGGGACCTTGCATTTGTGGGGCAGGCAGCTGAACCACTGAGCTAAATCCCTAGCCCCCAAATGCTTGGTTTTGGTTTTTTTTTTTTTTTTGGTACCAGGGATTGAACTCGGGTCCTTGTGAAAATGCTTGTTTTTAACAGGAAGAATACCCACATTTACTAATTCCTTGCAGTACACTTGGCTCCTTTTAAAAGCATCATATGTATTCTCACGACAGCCCCATAGTGTAGACATCCTCCATCCCATATCACAGACACATCTCTGAGAAGCTAAGTAACCTTACCAGGGTACACAGCTAGTGGGTGAGGGAATGGAGAGCCTAGGTGGTATAAATGCTGGCAGCGCAACCCTAAGGCTTTTGTGCATTTGACTGCTGAGTTGCATGGCCACTGGCTCTATTATTAAGTGATTGGATGGCCAAAGATTGATGATGCAAGGGTCTGGAGGTCACTGGAGAGAACCTTCTCTTCCCAGAATGCTAGAATGTCGAAGTGAGGATCATACATGTCTGGGAGCCAGACTCTTCTCAGTCTTTAACTTTATGTGGCAGGAGACCTTCCCTTAGGTGGAGCTGAGCTCTGCTGCACCAAAACCACTCCCCTGTGGTCCTGTGCAGAGCTGTGCCACCTTATAAAACAGTCCGAGAGCGTGGCTGTCACCCCAGGTCCATCCCCACCTCGGGCTCAGTGATCTTGTGCTTTAGCTTTCTTCTCGTCCTCTCATGCATTGTGATAATCCTGACCATTCTGGTGATCTTCTCTTTGACACTCCACTGTTTTCTAGCTTGCCCCTTACTCTCTGGTGGTCCTAAGTGGGTACAAGGCTTCATGACCCTGAGCAACTCTGTGCCCCCAGAGACTGTGCACCTGTGGCTGTCTGAATACACATCTCTTTCAGCAGCCATGCAGACAACAGCTTGGAATGGAAGTGTATCTGCAGTCCCTGCAAGCACAAGGGAGGGCTTGGTGCACATTTGATGCATGGATGAGCAGGAACGGCTCATGCAGTTTCACCAAGGGCAAGTGTAGGCCCAGCTCTACAAAGTGCACTTTGGGATGACAGCAGAAGAAGGTCCAATATAGACATCTGAAAAGAAGTTGATTGAGTTTTGTGAAAAGAGAGTCAACATGCAGTCCAGAGCCTGACTGTGTTAAATCCCCACCTTAATCCTTTGTGTAATGTATGATTCCCATTTTACAGAGGAGAAAGTTGATAGCTGGACCAGTGTCACCAGGTCTGCTGAGCCCCATGCCTCACTTCCCTTACCTGTAGGATGGCCCACCTTGTAGGAAACTGGAGCCTGGACCCCTCAGGCTCCCTGCCTGACATACTGCCTCACCAGAGCATGGGATAGAATATGGGAAAACTCTGTAAACTCTAGTGACTGTGGCATGGGTCTTTGTGACTGTGCGTGTGCTTGTTGCATGTGTGTGCACACGTGCATGTATGAATGCACACATGGCAAGGACAGGGTTCTCCAAGGGAACTGGGTGCTGACTTGCAGGGCCTTTGCACCCCTCCCTTCTCCTTTCAGAGGGCCATCCGTGTGCGCAGCCACTCCATGGAAACCATGGTAGGCAGCCAGAGGAAGCTGCACAGCGGAAGCATCCCTGGCAGCCTCAGTGGGGGCATCGTTCACAACAGCATGGAAGTCACCAAGACTACCTTCTCGGTGAGTACAGAAGACCCTGGGCTATCATGTAGGGCCAGGGAGTGTTCCCACAAAACCTATTTAGGAGAGCTAAGGAACTTGAGCAGGGCAAGCTGGCTGACAGAAACAGAATGCCTGGGATCCAGCTTCTGCCTTCTGATAATGATCTTTGGAGCCTCTGTCTCAGGTAGCTCCTGGGGTTGGCCTGCAATAAAAACGCACTTGTCCTGTGACTTTCCTTGACCACCTAGTCTCCAACCCTGCAAAATGGTATGGGGTACAATTTCCTGCCCAGGGCCTTGAGACTTATGACTGGGAGAAGGGTGCCCATTCTTTGTTATTATTAATAATAGCAGTAGCCACTTCAGTTTGCAGTTCACCTAGCACTGAACTAAGTTACTCATAGACAAGATCTTACCTAATCCCTGTCCCAAGCTGCCTCAGGCAGCTACTAGAGAAGTTAAGTAACTTGCCAAGGGCCACCCAGCTAAGCTGAAGAGCTGGGATTTGAATGCAGGTCTGCCTGATTCCAGGTTTATTCTCTTCATTACCACATGTACAGTTCCCAAAGAGAGAGGCTGCGTGGGCCTATGAACTCAGCCTGACTGACTTGCATCAGATCCTGGGCAGATGAGAGAACTATATAGCTGGTCCGTTTATTTATTTATATATTTTTAATTTTTTTTTTCCCATTAAGTTGATCGGTACATTTTTGGTATAAAATACAGTTACGTTCATCATGGGGATCTTGTACCATTACATGAGTCTCTTGGTTCTTATTTTTTTCCCCCTTCCCTTGCCCTCCCTTCACCCCCTCCACCCTTCCCTATTTGCAAA